CGCTGGCAGTTTTACTATCAATCATCAATCAATACATTAATTAAGTAGATTTTTTCTAACTTACCTATAACATATTTTTCTCAAACATGCTTGGAAATGTGAGCATTATTTTGACAATCTTCTTCGAGATAAATCAAAATTGCCGTACTGGCCAGATACATGCGGGCAGCGGCCGGCAAAAGTTGCATGAAAATCCATATCTGTCGTGTTTTGCGGCCAGATAAATTACTATGTAAACTCATATCTGTCCTGTAATTTAAAAATGGAATGACCTTTTACTTCGAAATATGGCTACCAAGGAGGTAACTAATACAAGGTTTTATTTAAATTTCGAACTGGCTTGCAAATAGAAAGCTGTTTATTGAAAAAAAAACAAAAAAATAAAGGAACATTATGGCGCGTAAAAAATTATTATTGTTCGTTATTCGTCATTGAACTTAAAAAGTAAAATTGTGTTTTTGATTTCCGCGCATTGTTTGAGAAAAGTACTATACAAGCCTTGGCCACAACTAGGCATTGATGAAAACACGTATATTTGCACGTTCGTCCATCAATGCCTCAGTTACTGGCCGCTGTTACTGCAGCTATTTATTTCCTTTTTTATACAGAAGTAATATAATATAGTAAATAAAATAATTTAATAAATTCAGAAATAATATATTTTTGTGCAATATACAATACTAGCAATCCAGCCCGGCTTCGCACAGTCAGATAGATTTTTTCAAAATATTACAATTGCCTTAATTAGTCACTGATAATCTAGCTTGCCATAGATTAAAGAACTTTATAATCGATTGAGCATTTTTTTGTATTTATCCAATTATCATCATATCAGCCTTTAACTGTCCACTGCTGTACATAAGCCTCCCCTAAAGGGGTTTTGCCAGTAGTTGCCACGCTTGGCAGGCGGATTGACAACCGCAGTTAAACCTTGGAGATATTTTAAGAGGGCCGCTGCTGCCTATCCCTCGTCCTCCCTTAGTCGCCTCTAACGACACCCACGGGAAAGGAAGGCATGGCCTATTCTAAGCCGGGAGCACACAGGATCACCACCATCCATTATCAAGGAATAATCAAACTTTACCCTTCATAATATTAATACACTCGTAGACTAGCTGTTACCCGTGACTTCATCCGCTTAACTGAGTTGCATTCACTAACCGGGATGAAAAAGGGGGAATGGGGTTGTTAGTAATGAAGTTTAATAGGTCCTTTGCTAGCAATACAACTGATCAGGTCAACCTCCACGCGGTTCCTCTTGGAAACCATAGTGGTTAATTCTTGTTCAATTGGTCACTACGGGCCAACTGACCTACCATCATCCTCACCTGTCACCCTTCACTGGTGCCCTGCCAGCGTATACCGTTAGCGCAGGCGGGGCTACCATTTAATTATCATCCATTAAAAACAAACCAGGATGAAAAGTACCCTCTATCCTTCTCCATCTTATAAACTCGTAGTACTTTAATGTATACCAAATTTTACAACGATTGATTAACTAGTTATGTCGCTAAATGGCAACAAAGATATAATAATAATAATAAAATCTTTTATTTTCAGGTATATACTCATAGTTTACAGTCATTACGATGTAAATTTATTTATAAATAATTACAAATTTTACATTATTATATTATACGTATAAACTATTATTGTATTATTAAACTATAAACTAATTAATAAAGTACCAATTTAAATTATATTTCTATAAATTCTTATATCGTCAGGTATGCAGTGACGAATGCTGTCTTAACGCATACTCTTTAACTTATATATCTTATATATCTTTAACTTAATAATTAATTATACATGACAACAATAACCTAATTAGAAGCTACCACATATAATTAACGAAAATTTAATTACTTACAAGTCTAAATAATTAATAAATGTATGTACAAACATAAGCTAAACGTTGTTAAAACCACTGAATGAATAATTTGCGATGGTTTTTTCTTATGCATTTCTTCTGCTGCTATTATTAAATATTGGCCGTGTGGTCCCGGCATAGAATAGGCCACCCCTTCCTTTCCCGTGGGTATCGTATGAGGCGACTAAGGGATAGCAAAAGATGGGCAGCAGCGTCCCTTTTAAAACATCTCTAAAGTCTGACTGCGGTTGCTAATCGGTTTGCAAAGCGTGGCAACTACTGGTAAAATCCCCTAAGGGGGAGGCTTACGTTCAGCAGTGGACAGTTAAAGGCTGACATGATGATGATGATGACCATTAAATATAACTATTTCATCATCCCTACTTTATATCATTGAATACAGTGGAAGCTCATATTCTGAAGTATATTATAAAAAAAAAATCTTTCAGCACCACAAAGCAATGGAGGAAGTTGGGGAGGAAGAAATTATTAGTAATGGAGTCTAGCTGACCCATTGCCAGCAATACACCCTATCAGGTCGACCTCCACGTGGTTCCCCCTGGAAACCATCGTGACCAATTCTTGTTGAATTCGTCACGATGGGCTAACTGACCTGTTTCATCCTCACCTATCATCCTTCGCTGGTTCCTCGCCGGTGTATACCGATAGCGCGGGTGGGGCTACCATTCCATTATCACCGATTAAAAAAAAATATAGGTAGTTATTAATTTGACTTTACCCATTTTGTATATCTTACCTGTGTAAGTAGGTAATTCCATTCTGATGGTTTTTTAATGGCAACATATTTCTCCTTGTTGGTCCCTTGCCAATTTCGTCAATATTAAAAAGAATGTAATCCAATTTTAATGATTCTTTATATAATGGACAGATTTTCCTCCATCTTGGTGCCTTGCTAATGTTGTTAATAATAGAAACCTTCGTAACTTTTTTAGAACAAAAAAAAAATAGCAAACTGTACTTGTATTAATTCGACCACTTCATTAAATTACCCCCTTATCTACTTATAAGTAAAATTTTTATTAATACAATGAAAATTTAACTAAACGATCTCTGTATATGGGAAATATTTAGGAAAAAATAATATGAAAGGTCTTTTTTTTTCTATCTGCCCGTCTGTCTTTCTGTATATTTGTTCCATTGTCACGTAAAAACTACGTCTCTCTAATTCTATGCATCTTACACAGTTATATTTTTTAAAGTCCGACTTAAAACTGGCATATATTGCCATTTAGAAATAATTTATCTAATTGATTTTGGAACATCTAAAATTTACATGTTAGAAGTCGCAAACATAAAGTTAGTGCCAAAATTTTGTTTATCACTAATTAAACAGTTTAATCTATCAATAAATTTCATCATCATCATTTATTTTGTGAACAAGAGGTACATACATATGTGATGGTAAAATACAATATGGTACTCAATTATCAACTTTATAGACATACAAAATATATTCATTTTTACAAAACATGAAAATTAAATTAAAAAATCCACCACAAAATAATTTAGTTTAATTAAAATATCAAATCCGCTTGTGATCTCTAGAAACAATTGAATACTCAAAAGTCCTATTTGGAAAATATTTTCATTATTATAGTAGTACTTATAAGAGAGAAAGAAAAACCTAACGACTTAAGTAGCTATAAACTTATTAAAGTCACTTTCCTTTGCGTCATTCTAAAATAACAAAAGAGCGGAGCTAATTCTGAGCTTCGTATTCCCAAATGAAAAACAGCGAAACAATCTTGCCCGGTATAAAATAGGTACGGATCCTGGGAGACCGGAGCATGCCCTACCAAGCGTTTTATAAAAAATTACTCATCCAATTATTTTTTTGACAAAAATATAAATATTTTTATTGTATGTATTTTTGTTTATGTATTTTACGTAATTGTAAGGCAAAATTTCATGGAAGATTAATGACAATAAGTAATCCTGTTGTTCAGACTGTATTCCTCACTGCATACCTGACGAAGAAAAAAATTATAATAAAATTATTTAAATTGATATTTTATTAATTAGTTTATAGTTTAATAATACAATAATAGTTTATATGTATAATATAATAATGTACAATTTGTAATTATTTATAAATAAATTTACATCGTAATGACTGTAAACTATGAGTATATACCTGAAAATAAAAGATTTTATTATTGTTATTATTTGTACGTGACAATATTAAGTATATTTTCGCGTCAATTTAAATAATTAATTTAAAAAAATAATTTAAATTAAATTACACATATATCCGTCCATAAATTACTGGGCTGTTTTTTATTTTATTTTATTTTAAACTAACTTTCGAATTTTTGAAAAAAAATATGGCTTATGCTAGTAGATAATAATGTACGTGTAGTTTGTAAATGAAATAATTTTTAAAATCAGCAAAATGCGTTGCCATTCCTGATAACTCAGGTGTTATTCCTCTGTACCCAGTAAATTCACGCCATATCCCACCCTCCAAACCGAAACAAAGCCATGCAAACACAAATGCTTCAAGGTTGAAACACGAATGATACGATAACGGCGTGTTTAAACTGTTAAAAACGTAAAAAAACGTAATTCCTCGACTAAATCTCGTACGTCCAATGGTAGGGGGCGAATTCACCAATTAAAAATGTATCGTATACCAAAGCGACGTCAACCGTACCATTAACTATACAGTTAAGTCAATGAACGTTATATAATAACAGAATGCCGAAATACGTGGAATAATTAAACACGCCGACAGAACTAGACCTCAGTGTGGGAACTTCAAAACATGTCTTATGTACTCGATTTATATAAATATATACCAGTTTATCTTAAAACCAGCGCTACATTTTTCAACCAAACAATATAAACAAAAAATATAAGTGACCAGATTTAAAAAAAAAAGAAGTTCTGAATTCAAATTAGTTTTTTTGGCGACTGCCTTCCGCCTTTTACGCAGTTCAAAACCGATAGTTATCATTCTTTCAGTTTTATACCCACTTAAATTTGATAAATTTCCTAAATTTGCACCTGTCGTTTGTAATCCATTGCAAATACACGTTCTTAATTTAAACAACAACAATATAAGCGTGCAGGGTAGATGCGAAACAATTCGTATTAGGGTACGTAAAATGGCTCGAAGGTTCTAGTAGTGTGTTTGTTTGCAATCGATGTGTCTTTTTCGCGGTACAAAATTATATTTCTATACATTTATTGTTATATTTAAAGTTAGTATCGTATAATATAATCATTATAAATGTTACAAATGTGAAAAAAAAATGTTTGTTTGTGCTTTAAAAGTTCAATAAATCAGACAAAAAGTGCGTGGTTTATTTTTATCTTAATCATTTGATCAGTCGAAGTTAATTAGTGGGTCTTATTTTAATTGCTTGTTACAGGCAGTGCCCTAGCCGGGTATATCCCGCTTATTAGTGATTTTTCGTGATATATCAAGGAAAATAATCACACAAGACAATCATGGCTCGGGTGTACGACAACATCGACCCCGCGTACGCAGCCACCTGCAGCGACGTCACGCTGTGCTCCAACAACAAGGGATTCTTCAGGAATCTAAGCGAGAATCTGGTGGCCATCGCTGACACTGAATGGCTGGAACGATTGGAGAGAATGGATGAAGAGAAGAGAGTGCAAGCGGTGAAGGACAATAAGGAGGTACTGTGACTTTTTTTTCTTTTAAATCCTTTTCAGATCAACAGAGAACTAACTTATGTTTAATAATATAATAAAATTGATACAAAAAATAGGAGAAGATGGAACAATATTTTTTAGAGTTGTTTTCTTGTCTATTTGTGTTTATTTCGGTATCACAGAAAAAACTACTGTTTAAAATGAAATGTGCCCCTGATGGTGTAATGTACAATGTAGTATTTTTTTTATACAACTTAGAATGGCAAACAAGCTGACGGCCCACCTGATGGAAAGTGGTAACCGTCGCCTATACACATGAGCAGTACCATGGACATAACATAGTGTACTGTTTCGCCCACGATAACCCCCATGCGTTGCCATTCCTAAGGAATAAGGTATTATGAGTTTGTACTGTGTAAATTCACGCCATATCCTACCCTTCAAACCGAAACACAGCCATGCAAATGTATGGTGAATGATATAAGATTATTATCCAGGTGAGACAGACTTAGTTCGGGTAAAAGCTAGCGTAATACCTCTGGTATTGCAGGTGTTCATAGGCTACGGTAACCACTTACCATCAGGTGGGCCGTATGCTTGTTTGCCACCTCAGTGGTATGAAAAAAAAAGCTAGTGAAGAAATATATGTATTTTGAATTAATATGTTGAAAATATTAATGTCTTATTATATATAATTATTTAAGTTAGTACCCTAAAATGGGTAAGGCATGGTATAATTTTAGACTCATTATGCTAACCTATATTGTAAAGACGTATTTTTTTTTTAAATGGATGATAATGGAATGGTAACCCCACCCGCGCTAATTCATCATGATGGGCTAACTGGCCTGTTTTCATTCTCATCTATCACCCTTCACTGGTGCTCCGCCAGCGTATCCCGTTAGCGCAGGCGGGGTTACCATACCATTTTCATCCAATAGAAGAAAAAAATACACCACCCGCGCTATCGGTACACACCGGCGGGGCACCAGTGAAGAGTGATAGGTGAGGATGAAGCAGGTCAGTTAGCCCGTCATGACAAATTCAACAAGAATTGTTCACGATGGTTTCCAGGAGGAGCCACGTGGAGGTCGACCTAATAAGGTATATTGCTAGCAATGGGGCTATCAAACTCCATTGCTAACAATCCTTTTCCTGCCTGTAAAGATGTATTGTTTTGTTTCGAAATATGAAAGTCAAACAACTGCTCGTGCGTTTTAACCTGTATCCACACACAACTCTATTACATCTCGGGCAAAGAGCAACCTGCACTCTTAACCTGATTGCGGCGTCAATGTACACATGTCTTAATGAATAACCCTTACCGTTCTCGTAAGGGGAACTATTTACAGCGTATAGAGAAAAGTGGACTTTAATCTATAATGCATACGATTGGATTTACGATACACCTCTTCTTCGAGATAATGTGACATATAGCCACATGTTGCTCGCTTGCTGGGCTCACAGTATAAATACTAGCGTTTCATTTTAATCAATATTCCATAGATATTGAAGCTGTTTCGTTTAAAGGATAAGATATGGATAATATCTAACATTGGGCATAACATTTAAATCCTGGAAAGAGATAGTTAATAATGGGGACTAACGTCCCCACGACTAGTAAAATATCTTTCGAGGTCTTCTCCTCCACGCTATCCCCCTATTAATTGTCCCCTATATTAATTCGCATTGAATTCACGATAGACCAGTTAATTTGACTTCATACTCACCTATTTTTTTTTTTGATGGGTGAAAGTGGTATAGTAACTCCGCCTGCGCTAACGGGCTACGCTGGCGGAGCACCAGTGAAGGGTGATAGATGAGAATGAAAACAGGCCAGTTAGCCCATCATGATGAATTCATCAGTTAAAAAAACATAGCCTAATAAAAAAAAAATTATTAAGCTAAGTTGGTCTGAATAAAGGCTACAATTTAATACGTACATTATTACACCTTTGATGCTTCCCAACTAGTTCTGATTTATATTAATTTTCACGCAAACAAACAAACAAGGGGCTCTTGTCTGCGAGGAATAAAATACTGCTACAGTATTATGTTCATTTAATAATTATCTTTTACACTATACATATTAATTTAATTTCAATAGTGTACTGATCTTCCAACCTCTGTCAATTTAGTGGTACGACCTTTGACTAAGTAACAAACATTCAAACATCCATACATTGAAATATTCACATCACAAAGTTTCATATTTTAATTTAATTTAATTTTTATTTTAAATCTGTTTAGATAATGGAAGCTATAGGACAAGTATTATCAAGGATACAACCACTGCACAGAGGAAAAGATGCGAGGGTGTCTCAGGAGAAGTGGCAGTCCGCTAAAGCTGCAATGGAGGCAGGAGACCTGAAGAAAGCATTGGCTCTCGCTAGCCAGGCTATCTTCAAAGCACCACTTCCATGTAAGTTTTTTCTTATGTAACTTAAAAATTAAGCTAACAGGTCATGGACAGCCATCACTATAATCTACAGACGTGAATTCAGACATGGCCCACCTTGGAAGTCACAGAATGGATTGCAATGCCAATGGTACCCTTCATACTTTGCCATTTCTGAGGGCTATGATATTATATTTTTGTACACTGTGATTCCACTGCCATATCCTAACCTTGTGCCCTAAGTCAAATGGTCACGGTATTAAAAGGGATAAGAAAGATAAGGGATACGAAAAGGAAAATGGTAATAGACAGATAATATAAAGGATTAGTACTATAGGTACTACACTATCTTTGTTCACACGGTCTACTCAGATAAGCCATAAAAAATGTCCCCTAGAACCTTCAATGCAGTGCATATAATTTTATTCCTGCATTAATCATATTAATTTTATAATAATTCCTCTTTTTCTTTTGCAAGGTCAAATTTACTCGCGTGACATTTTTGTACGTTCTAAATTTAAATAATTTATAAATCTAATGTCTGATGATGAAATTTTTCTTCATTTACCATTACGTCTCAATCCATATGTAAGGTTTCTAACCAATGTTAATCTAGTAATGGTTAAAGCCACTATTTATACTGCACCGTAACTCCAGTATCGTAAATCTAATATTGCAGAATACGGATACATGTTGCAGTGGGGCGTATTTTAATTAATTCAAGAGAGCATAGCGCACGCCGTACTAGTCGCGAGGCACAGAGCTCTTCACACTCCCTAGACATTTGTAACCAGTCTGTGATGATAGGGAACGATGAAAATAGGTCATCTAATTAGTCCTTTATTTCTTAATAAACTCAGGATAATCAACACTTAGTGAGAGGAAGTAGTTCTTAGTAGCGAGGACTAGTAACCCCATTTGTTAGGTCGATCTGGTTATTAAATGACTTGGGCAACAGAAATAACATTATGTTAAGATGAATCCCTGGTCACTCAAACATTCATGGAAATGTAACAGCTGACCAATTAGCAAATGAAGGAGAAAAAAAGGTCCGAATAGGACCAGAAACTTATTATGACATACCTCGAAGTCTAAACCTCTGACATCTCAAACTCACAAGCTAATAAGTAGCTAATAATAGCTGGCTCTTGTTGCCAGGATTAAATCACTCGAAAGTCCTGATTAAGGGGTTTACAGAAAATTGCTCTAAAACATTATTTTTTTAAAGTAAAAATAATAGGTGTGTATTAACAAGGGCTCTCACTAGACACTGAAAATTAAACAAGCATTTGGTCCAACTAGGCTTATGCCCAAAAAGTGTTTGTAGATTTTGTCGCAATGAGAAAGAAACGCCGCACCATTTAATTTATGACTGTAGCCCACTCACACATAAACGATGTATCTCCTTTGGTAAATACACTTTATATCCTGAGGAAATAAAAAACATCGCTACAAAAAACATCTTAAAATTACTATTATTGATAGGAATTAGCAGCGGTCTTTAAAAAAGGGCGAGCACCAAAGATTATAGAAAGGTCGCAGGGTCACAGGATTTTCTGCTTGGAAAAAACCCGTCTTTCAATAATAATAACAGGTCGATCTTCTAGTAGTCGCCGCTTATTTGACTTTTGCTTCACTTCTACCAGCACATCATCTTCACAGTTTCCCGCCAACGTAAACTAAGAGCACAAGCAGGATTACCAGTCCTATATGTTACAATAATAAACTAGATGATTCAACCGTAAAGCAGTTGTGTTTGCATGGCTGTGTTTCGGTTTGAAGGGTCGAATATGCCGTAATTTATACAGATACAGAGGAATAACACCTGATCCTCAGAAATGGCAACGCATGGACGGTATATTGGGCAATACAGTATACTCTGTTATGTCCATGGTACAGCTCATGTCTATAGGCGACGGTTACCACTTTCCATCAGGTGGGCCGTCAGCTTGTTTGCCATTCTAAGTTGTGAAAAAAAATGCATATATCGTTACAAAATTTCGCGTTTATTATATTGGTAGGAATAAACCAAATCGAGTTCAGATTTTGTAGGAAGAATTTTAAATATTTTACCTGTTTACACCTAAAGCTAGGCGTGATGTACGTATGTAAGTTTATATGTATTTACATAAAGTCGTGTCGCATGTTAGTAAAATAAATTTAAGTTTTCCAACATTAACATCCCCTTTCGCTGTTACCACGTTTACTGCTGTTCTAAAGTATTCTAGACACATTGTAGCGGTCACTTGAGATAAAACCATCAGTGTCTGACAATGTATTCATATTTACTTTGTACTCGTGTCCCCACAGTTCAGTTTTTATGGCACTAAATATATATCTTATACAACTTTTCTTAAATGATCATTTCTATCAACTTATTACTTTCTGTTATTGCTTAGCTTCGCAAGTGTGCAATATTTGTTTGTATAACTTTTAAACTGTTCAAGGCATTTTACTAAAATGCTTGCCTGGTGCTAGTGCTGGTGCTAATACGCCAGTATATAAAAGTACTGCATTAATATTCTCTAAAATTTCAATTTCAAAATGAACGGTGTGTTTAGCATTTTGAATTGTGTTTATATAACTTCTCCGGCACCCCTCACCTCCGCGCACCGTCTACTAATCTCGCATGGCGAGCGGCAGCGACTACGCAATAATTTTAACGGCTTATTGTCCTATTTTACATTATTTTCTGACCAATTGCTTTAAATAAGATGTTATAAAAAGTAAAATTGATCATCCAAATTTCCATTTAGATTTAACTATTTGTTTTTAACCGCCGACGCAAAAACAATTGGATACCTATATTTAGGGTTTGTGAAAAAAAGTTATTCGCCATTTTGTGGCGGCGGCTATCTTGGATTTGGAATTTGTCATAGTGTTTAGTATTCTACTACTTTTATTTAATACCTATATGAAATGAAATGAAATGAAATGAAATGAAATGAAATGAAATGAAATGAAATGAAATGAAATGAAATGAAATGAAATGAAATGAAATGAAATGAAATGAAATGAAATGAAATGAAATGAAATGAAATGAAATGAAATTAAATTAAATTAAATGAAATGAAATGAAATGAAATGAAATGAAATGAAATGAAATGAATTGAAATGAAATGAAATGAAATGAAATGAAATGAAATGAAATGAAATGAAATGAAATGAAATGAAATGAAATGAAATATTTATTTGCATTTTTATATTAATGAAGTTGTGAGAAAATATGCAATCCGACATTTTGTGGCGGCGGCCATCTTGATCTCCATCAAACATAGCTAAAAACACTTCCGACTAACTCACCTTTCAATTAAAAAACAAAATCAAAATAGATTCATCCTTTCGGGAGCTTTGATGCTAGAGACAGACACACACACAAAGACAAACTCGTCAAACTATTAACACCCCGTCGTTTTTGCGCCAGTGGTTAAAAATAAAAACCTTCATGCTTTCTCATTGTATTAGATTGGTGGGAAGAGATCTCTTTCAGGAATAAGGCCACCCTTACAATATTTATAACTGTCTTATCTATGGTATATAATTCACAAACCCCATACACAATATATATGGAAAAATTACTGATTCCTAATTCATTAGGTATCGACGAGATAATCGAGGGAGGATCTTTAGCCATGGGTCTGTGGCTCAGATCCGAAATCTTGCTTCGCTTAAACCGCCCCCGTGCAGCACTAGAAGACCTCAAGATTGCGCTGAAAGAACGGCTCCCTGCCAGGATGCGGGCGCAGTATTACTGGCGAATGGGCGACTGCTACAAGGGTGAGTCGCTATAAAAGATCAGTCCAGAATTAATCGCTCGATTTGAGATTTTTTAATGTAACTTAACATTGCAAACAAGCAAAGATATATATGTAACGTGATTATAGACATACATAACACTGTGAATATGGATACAGCGTGATGCAGGGCCGTAGCTAAATCCATATTTAAGGTAGGGCAAAAAACTTTTTGGTAGAACAGAAGCCATAATTATGTGACTATCGAAAAATCGATTCTTGACTAATTTTCTTGGGGCATTTCATTTTAAGGTAGGGCTTTGGACCTTTTAAGGTAGGATGTTGCCGCTCAATGCCCCTCCCCCCTAGCTACGGTCATGGCGTGATACCAGATACTTCCCATGCGTTGTCATTCCTGAGATCTATGATGTTATAGTTCCATACCCTATAATTTCAACTTATAATAGCAGACGTGCTGTTAACTCGCCACGGATATCACAGAATACACTGTGATGTCCATCATACTTCATAATCGGTACTATTTCTGAAGCGTTACCACTATACCCCGTAATGTCACTGCTGTACCGTGATTGAATTAGGATAGTGCTGTTTTTAAGTTAGTTGTTAGTTACATAAGTACTAATTATAATATTTTAACTGTAAAACTTCATTGATTTATGTATGTTTTAGTCGAAATTTTAACAAAACTTAAAAGTATTTATCGTCGATTAATTGTTCGATCTTTTACCAAAACAACAGCGACAACCTTTGTGATGATTTCTCAATAAATTTAAAATCAATAAAATTAATATCATATTTATTTCTTCTTTAAGTTTGAACGTAATTTGTGATACGTCACGTTGATGCAGGCTACGAAGTTTAACAGAACTCAAATTTGAAAGTTTCCAGTTGGGAACTAACCGTAATTCGGGTGAAAGGTTGAAATATGTCAAATCCCTTATCATTAACTAGTTATATAATTAAACCATGGAAAGATTTATCTAACAACATTTGCGTGGGTAGTCGGCGAACTCGAGGCATACTTGACTAACTCCAATTATTTTTAACCTACTCTCCCAGGAAACTTCCATGATCCTGTAAACAAACGGAGAGCAGAAAAAAATAATTGTTTGCTTTGTTTTCTACTGATAGAAACAAAATATTCCCTTTAATAAATAGGCAGTACGACGTATAATACCAACAATAGTACATATTATGTGGTCGTGTTTTTACGAGAAAACATTATTACTCGCATTAAAGAGACTTTATATTGAATGGGACACTTTTTAATATAAGCTTCTTTATAATAATTGATTTAATACTATCATCTTATTATTATTATGTTAGAAATATACTTTGTCTTACCTCTCTGCATGCCATGTCACCGTCTCTTTCTATTTCATGCACACATGTAGCGAAAATGTATCTATGCCGACATTTAATTATGTAAAAAAAAGTGCTTATTTTAATTCAGACACTTGTCCCATAACGAGATTATCTATCTATCTATCCTATTTAAAAGCTGCGCTCTTGTCGATGAAGCTCTTGCTTCTAAATTATACTTCATGAAATATCTCGCCGCAGACAAATCTTTATTTTGTATAGTATATTTAGAAAATGAATACTCCGAAGTTATCTTGTCCAAATAATTTCAAAATTAAATTAAAATTCAAAATATAATCTAAGATTTAAGTCCAAATTAAGAAATAATGTACAACATTTACCATTAAGACTTTGTAAATGTCAAGTTTTAATGGAAAATCTTAGGAATTTTACACAATACGAGGTTTTACAGTAACACATATGTGTCTTAGTGAATGTAGATGTTTATTATGGCTATACCTTTAGGCGAGCAAACACAATTGTTGATACAGCAATAAGATACAGCAGAACAGAGCCGCGGGCGTTAATATATTAAACTGCACTCATTTATCATTATCATTACCATACAAAATCATTAGAAGACGTTATTACACTGAAAATGTATCTTTTATCTCTTTTATATCTTTCATTACTCGAAATTTCTTATAGTTTAATTATAATTTATTAAATTACAAAAAAAAAAATCCATAAAAAAATCGATAAATGACCGCAACAGCCATATAAAAATCTGCATCTCTAAACAAATATCTGCGTATGCATTGATGGACTCGCTAATGCAATCGAAACCATGAAAAAAATCTCGAGCACAGAATAGAGGGAATATCTTATTTTCTAGGTATTCTGTGACTCAGATGTAGCTATTTCCTTCCATCAGATAAACTGGCTGCCGATGACAATTCTATTTATCTCCAAGGCTTGTTATTTAAGAGAAGCAATCCGAGAAACAAACAAATGCAAATTGCGACTTTGTTTTATACAATTTAAAGATAAATATTGCAGTATTATATTTATATAATTATTTATAATTATACAAATATGTAGAAATATTTTATTTATAGTTAAATACATAGATTCTAATGTAACTAGGTTATTCGAATAATTAACGTAGGCGATAAGTCGAGTATCGTAACTAATTAGGGCCCTTAAATTAATTGGAGGTCGTTGACTGAAAACAAAAATTATAAATTGAATAATAAAGTATAACCTCAATAAAACATCTTAGCTTGAACACGAGCTGGTTACTAAAATGCGATCATATAATGTGAAGTTAAATTTAGTATCTATATAGGTAGGTAATCTATAAATTAATGCCACTTATCTTTGTAATTTTATAACTCAAAAACGGGCTCACCTATCCAAACCATATATTTAGGCTTTGTTCAGACTATTTAGTAGATGGTTTATGTGAAGTTTGCACAAAATCGGACGAGCGGTTCTTCATTTATCACATTTTTTGTAATAAATGACGGATCATTTTGTTAATGGAGATTTTTGTGTCAAATTGAAACTTTTTTCAGTGTTGACAGTACAAGCGTGTTGTTATATCATTCATGCGGTCATTTCATTTTGTACGTGCTTCGATTAAAGCAAATTGTCAGCGTTAATTATTGCTTAGCGTTTATATTTTTAAACTTTAATATACTATTTAATTTTTTTTTATTATTTAATTTTAAACGGAGCGAAGAACGTACCGGGCTGCTAGTAAAATTATAAATACGTGTACGTGGGTAACATTGGGATATTGGAATATTCCAGAATATTCCAATATCCCAATATTTGGGAATTTCAATAGAACCACCTGAACGGACCGATAAGTTGTGCAGAATGTAACTGATAAATACTTTTTTTCTATTCAACTGGTTGATCACATTTAGGTGCCTAATTTTGCGTAACATTCCTAAAATTTCACTTCGACTGAAGGAACGCAAATAAGATGAAATAGAAATAAAAATAGAAATTTTTGGTTATGTTTCGGTTTAACTTAAAAAAAAAGTACTAAATAAAACAATAAAAATGAGGATAGATACTGATTATTCTTGTGACAAAATTATAGACGTTGTGTAACGTATTACGTACGGACAGACTGACATTGCAGGTATAACCTTAAGCTATAAGTTATGTTATACTAATAACAGACTTAAATCTAATTAACTATATTCACTTAAAATTAATTACACTTCAAAACAATAATAATTAGAACGTAACTCATTACTCCCGCCAAATCAGCTTCGAGCTTATATTTTGTAGCTAGATTGCCTTCTTGTTTATCTAGCTTTAATAAATATGTTATTATGTTTTTTCTCTTTTAGATTACTAATCCAACATACTTTTTAATCTAAAAACAAAATCGTACAAGAAGTGATAACAATTTCTCTCCTATACATTTTATTTTTAGTGTTTTTAACAGCTATCAAGAATCCTTACTTTATCTACAATACATTATTTGAACCTTTTTTTTTTTAATTAAGTATATCTTTCTGTGACTTATAAGATCTTGTACGTATTGAATATAACATTATTGCAGATTTTTTTACCCTTTTATTGTTTGGGGTCAGCGTAACATGATTTTCTCTTCCATTCGTCTCTATTGGCATTTTGCATTCCCATTCTGGCCATATCATCTTTGACAAAGTCCAACCATGTCTTTTTAGGTCTTCTTCCCTTATTGCGTTAATTATACCTAAATGATAAGGATATATCACTTCCAAAATAATAGTACAATAATCCAAATAGATATATTAAAAAGGGTTTTGTGTTTCTTATTATCGTTACAAATTTTAGAGTGATTTTGGCATACGAGTACTATTTGGGATATAACAAGATCTAATCTGAATTTATTACTAGTAGACTGTGCGATTACTAAAACAAGATGTACCAGGATCGTTTATAAAAAACAAATTGTAATCAGGTGCTGGTGAGCCGACCAGGGCGAAGGTGTCCTACGAGCTGGCAGCACGCCTCCTGGCCACTGATAAGGAAGCCAAAGCAAAAGTTGTGAATGACATCGAGACACTCGACTACTCTGTGCAGTCGAAGCATCCTCCTGATAAGCCTGGTATAGTATATTTTCATATCATTTCATTTCAAAGCGACTTCAAGGAATGAAGATTTTTATTTATGATACAACATCGGAATCCATGGAACACTTGATGTGCAACTGTAATTCGTTAGCAAGTATGCGTATGAGTTTACTGGGAACAGCTAATTCAGAGCCAAGGGACTACAGATATCTTAAACCGCGGGATATCGTTAAGGTAACACATAGGATCTATGAAGTGATGATAAAAGACAGGGAGAAGTACAAAAGATACCTATGGGTCGACGTGCAACGGTTTAACTGACCCCATATGCGAAAATAAGATAAGATGATACAATACATAAACGATGCTGAACTCAATTTCTTTTTAGGAATCAAACTCGCTGGCGGTGCTAAACAAAATATGCCAGCTTTGTCTCAACTAGTGAAAATCGTCGAAGAAGAGAATAAGGTAAGAAAATTGAATATACATAAATATAAATAAATATTACTAGATATATTGTGCAGTGCCATTTAGTTTATTTATTTAGCAAAGTTTGTACTATGGTTAGACAACTAATAGGCTTGTATGAATACCTTTCAATCTTTTCAAATAACTTCGAAAATTCTCAATTTAGTGTTGTTTTTTATATCTGTTATCTCATAATTCTATCCATTATAAATCGGTATGCAAAATAATTTTTCTGCATATCTGAAAAGATATACCCATACATAAAACACCCAAAGTAATACAAACAGATGTATTCATAAATTACAAATACTTGTGTTGTGTGTGGATTATGTGTGTGACCATTGGAAGGTGAAGCAATATCTCACCATTGGTATCAGTATGTTTTGTCGCTGCACACTTTTGCCACTTCTAAACTCTTATTTAAAAAGTTCTAATTGTACTTGCAAAGTTAACCAAGTTTAAACAAAGTAGCAGTTTACGATTACAACGAAACAGGGATCATTGTCTTAGGTTCGTCTTTTATCTTTATTTTCCATATTCAATAAATTCAATTTAGTCACCAAAGTTTCCCTGAGTTATTATAAGTTTAAATGCCTCAAATCGTATTGTTTATTCAGTAGATTTGATAAATTTATTACTTTTGTATTAAGTCCCTATTGTATAGCTATCATTGGAGTTACCAATATCTAACAATCAAATCACCATCTTGATTATTTCAACAGTAACTATACTGTACTGAGGCATTGGAAACTATGATATTACTGCATATTCTATATTATTAATCGATATATGTAGATGACTCAGATCGGAATCATTCCTCGATTTTAAAACTAAAACTTAGAATGGCAAACAAACTGACCGTCCACTTGTTGGAAGGTTGCATGAGAAAAAACTGGTGCAAATAATCTTTGGTATAAACTTTAAATGGTAAAATCAGTCAAGTATATTAAAACAACTTTATTGTGAAAGAGTACAAGTTCTTTACTCTAACAACACCAATATATACGCAAGATTGCACCAAGTGCCCTCATCGCGACTACTGACGTACTAGTAGACATGTTCGTTGACAATTTTTTTCCAGGGTCGATTCGCAGTAGCCAGTGACTCAATCAAAACCGGCGATGTTCTATTAGTGGACAGTCCGTATGCATCCTGTTTGCTGTCTGAATGCTACGGTACTCATTGTCTACATTGCTTTAAGAGGTATGTTACTAAAACTAAACTATATCTCTTTGCTGAGGAAGAAAGTGTACTCAAAGACACAACGAGTGTACCTGTAAAAGGCATACCAGTAAGACCAGCAACAATTAGTATCAAGATCAGTCTCCATAAGTGCATATTAGCAGCTATATTGTCATGGCCAGGTGCATTGGTATACGCTTTAAAAACTAATATAATTTTCCTTCTCTTTCTATGAAGCACCAATATGCATATCGTTTCATCTTAGTTTGAAGACAATTATGAACAAACCATATTGGGTATTGTTCATGGCTATGGGTGAAACATTTTAACTTTAACATACCAATCCACTGCTATGACTAGTCTCCTCTGCATGTAATGTTATATTAACACGCTCTAATCAGGTGGCTTTATATGTTAAAAGGTTTTATAAATTATACACAACATTTATAAATAGATTATTTTATATGTAACTTACAAGTGCAATAAAGGTTTCGAATATTCCTTCTCATGCTGTAGTGTATTCTGGCTTGTTAAATTAAATATACATAATATATAGTAAATTTTACATTACAGGCTGGAAGACTGTGAAGATACAGCTCCTGTAGGGTGTCCAAAGTGTTCAGGAGTAGTGTTTTGCAGTATCGAGTGTAGGGATGCCGCTGTTTCCACTTACCATTTGTTTGAGTGCACATTTGTTGATTTCTTTATGGGTAATATTATCAGTCTTTATTCGTACATTGTTGTTCTTACTTATTTGTGACTATATTTGCTTTTTTGTATCTTTGGTTTCTATAATCTTTTCTTTAGAAATACAGAATATGAAAATGATTATAGTATTTTACATACGGTGAATCGTATACATATAGTACATATATATATATTTTATGGTACTGATTTCAGGTTCTGGAATGTCAATTTTAACTCATATAGCTTTAAGAATGGTAACCCAAGCTGGTCTTGAAACTTCCTTATTAATACATTCTAAATATATAACAAATCAAGTAAAAACAGTAGAAGGAGCCGCTTTAAATGACATAGAAGGCGTGTCAAAGAAATCCAAAATCAGAAGTAGGAAAGAAAGGCTGAATAGATCTAAGAAAGGATTGAAGAGTTTTACAGATAGGGTGAAAGATGATGATAACATAGAGGAATTGGAATATAAAATGGAGAGCAACATGAATTTGGAAGAAAAAATGGAGCTAAAAGCTGCAGAAATTTACTCGCTGTGTACGCATTCACAAGAGAGGAAAGGCAATGATTATTTGAAAAGAATGATCATGGCTATGTTCTTAACAGAGTGCCTCAAGAAAGCTGGATTTTTCAAGACATGCGAACCTGAAAATCTAGCAAAAGGTAATCATGGACGATAAAAAAGACACAAAATCTTTATTACATTTTTTTTATATACAACTTAGAATGGCAAACAAGCTGACGGCCCGCCTGATGGAAAGTGCTAACCGTCTCCTATAGACATAAGCAGTACCATGGACATAACAGAGTATACTGTTTTACCCATAATACCCCCATGCGTTGCCATTCCTGAGGACTCAGGTGTTATTCCTCAGTACTCTGTAAATTCACGCCATATCCCACCCTTCAAACCGAAACACAGTCATGCGCACAACTGCTTTACGGTTGAAACACGAATGGAACAAAGGTAGCCAAGCAAACGACTTTTGTATAAAGTCTCCTTCTGGTAAATAAATACATAATATTCCTGATATATAGTAGAAATTCAAATTATTCCTGAGTTTAATGAGCAAACTAAGGAACGGAGCTACGTTATATTTGCTTTCCTATTATATGGTGATGTTAAAATTATATTATATTGTATTTCTGCTGTATATATTGGAATAAATTGAAAATCGTCGAGTGCTAATAATCTATTTTTATGCTTACATGCTGCTCTCAATAGCAGTAAGAGAACTTTGTGTCCTATTATCGTAGTACCAACAGTGTCTATTAAGAATATTATTTTAATGTCTTTAACCAAGTATTCGATGTATATTTCAGCTGAAACATCGATCTGTGAGCTATTAATTCGGAATCTTGAGCTGCTCCAATTCAACGCACATGAAATATACGAAACGCTTCGCGGGGAACACATGTTCAGTGGCTCCAAACCTATCTACATTGCAGTCGCTATTTATCCATCTGGAGCGCTGTTTAACCACGAATGTTATCCTGCTGTTGCCAGGTAAATAATTACTATAATTCTGTTCAATATTTAGCTTTCTTTTAATGATTATCACGCCCCAAATACTGCACATAGAAAGGCATTATCCATTGCTATTATATCTAAGAAAACTGTGGACATTTCTGGACTCACAAATATGTTTGTAACAATTAGAAGCAAGAAGAAGATGAGATGATGACTCTGACCCTCAAGACCCTCTGTCTTGAAGAATTGCTAGTAAAGGGTTTTTAAAAACTAAAATTTGCATCTACTTGTTACTTGGTTTTAATAGGAAAATTTAATCTGATTACGAATGCCACTGAAAATCACCCGAGGCGACTTCACGTAGGTAAATGTGGTCGAATTATTGGAAATCGTTTAACATTCATAATAGTTATTGTAATCATTAATAAACTATTAAATGTGTCACTTTCAACAGATACTTTGATGGGAAAAACATAGTTCTACGGGCTACCAGGCCGCTCGCTCCTGGTGAAATGGTATCGGAAAATTATGGACCCCACTTCCTGATGCGTGGATTGAAAGATCGACAACGATCTCTAAGCTGCCGTTACTGGTTCCGTTGCGAGTGTGAAGCGTGCAAAGAAGACTGGCCTACACTTAAAGAACTCACCGATGCTCCTCCACGTCTTAAGTGAGTATTGGCATAAAAATACAATGAATTATCATTTCAAGTAAAGTGCATCATCCGAAACATTACAGCATCTACCGAAACATTTAGTAATACTACATCTTTATAGTTGACAAAAAATGCATTTAAAAGGTGTTTCTGAGGCTTAATTCTAGGTCCTTTTCTATTTTTATATACATTATGACCTCAATCATTGCGAAAAGGTAACTAATTTAATACTGTATGCTGGATATTTAGTATATTATTTAAGACTTCTGTAATCTTCCCCAAGGAATGATAATACTCTATACCTTATATATATTTCTTTAATTTCAAATAAATTCGATCCTTATTTTCTACCATTCAACTTGTCTTAATAATTTCAGATGCCATAACATAGAATGCACAGGCATGTACCGCCCTTTGCCGGAATTTATACCCGACAAATGTACCAAATGTTCCATCACCATTGATCCGGAATTGGTGAAGATTAAATTGGGCAGTGTCACCAAGTGCTGCGATCAATATAAGGTAATAAACAACAAAATCCTTTGTCTATTGTGCATCTATTAATCATCTGATTTTACATCGTGTGGTCCCGCCATAGAATAGGCCGCCTCTTCCTTTCCAGTGGGTATCGTAAGAGACGACGAAGGGAGAACTTTCTTACCCATCGATTGTTAGTTCTTCGAGCTACGTGACCAGCCCATTGCCACTTTCAGCTTGCTTATCTTTTATATTATCCTTTACAATAATGGACTATAACGTAAACATATAGTAAATTATAATAGAAATAATTATTATTTCTTTATTTATTTTTATTATTTCAGATTATTTTATTATTATTATTTCAGCCATTAACTGTCCACTGCTGGACATAAGCCTTCTCCAGGAAGGGATTTTTTTGCCAGTAATTGCCATGCGTGGCAGACAATTGCAGTTAGGCTTTTACGGATGTTTAAAGAGGGACGCTGCTGCCCATCCCTCGCCCTCGTTTAGACGTCTCTTACGACACCCACGAGAAAGGAAGGGGTGGCTTATTCTATGCCGGGACTACACGACTATTAATGTCATTTAATATTACAATATAGCCATTAACACTACGGTCATTTTTAGGAGGGTGCAACATTGATGGAAAGTGAGCGCCTCGACGACGCCATCGCAGTACTGTGTGACGCTATAGACACGTACCATGATATAGCTCGTCCGCCGCACAAGGATACCCACCTAGCACAGGAGTCGCTGAGGGCCTGCTTCGCGATGAAAGGCAACGTACATGTACAGCGGGGCGATCCTTCGGAATCGAATAACGGACACACCAATAATGGCCAAGATAAAGCTAATACTGCCTAATTTAAATTCGACAATAGGCTTAGAGAGCCTGTAACTTATGAGGAGTATTATTTCTCTGAATATTAATATACTTAATTATCATTATCCATTATAAAAATAAATGATTTAGTTCTAAGAATTGTATGTTGATTTTTTTATTGAATTCAAATTAAAATACTTTTTTTTTATTTTCTAACTGTGTTTATTTCATTGTATATAGTAATTTAGGTAAATACGAAACAAAAAGAAATATAGTATCAAATTCTTGCATTCCATTCAATTTGCTAATTTTAGTAACCACAATAACAAGTTGTAATTAATGATACAAAGATTCCATTGTTGCAAAAACCTTTTACTTTTAACTGGGAAATTAGTAGTGTAAGTAAGTAATTAAGTATTGGGTATCTATTAGGTTAGACAATAAACAATCTAATGATCTTAACAGGATCTCTAGATAAAATAAAGTTCTCTAATATTGGAATAAGGACAATGCAGGGAGCATCTAAAAAATCAATGAAGAGATTTTAGGAAAAAATAAATTTAAATATGTCACTAACATTAATGAGGTTTTACAAATACAAAATCAACTTTCCGACCGTTACAAGAACCAAATATACGTCTGTAATTTGATTTGTTTTTTGATCAGTTTCATATGAGGCATCGTCAATTCAGTCGCCGTCAAAGAAAGTCTTGCAAGCGCATTCCTGTTGGTCAGTACCGTCACCCTCTCCCGTGCTAGATACTGTTCTCCTAAGAGCCTGAACTTGCGTTTGGAGGCCGAGGACCCGCAACTGCGCTTGCTCGAAGTTCTCGTTTAGCCGCTGAATCTGGCATTGCATGCGGCATTGAAGCTGAAAAAATAATAAACGTATCAGAAGATTTGTTTCGGCAACTCTGTCCCATTCGTGTTTCTACCGTGAAGCGGTTGTGTTTGCATGGCTGTGTTTTGATTTGAACAGCTGAGTCCTCAGGAATGGCAACGCATGGGGGGTATCATGGGCGAAACAGTATGTTATGTCCATGGTACTGTTCATGTCTATAGGCGACAGTTGCCACTTTCCATCAGGTGGGTCGTCAGCTTCTTTGCCATTCTAAGTTGCATAAAAAAAAAATTTCTTAGCAACGATTTCATCTCGACCTTAGTATTAATAAGGAGACTAGTAATCGCCCCGTGGTCGAAATTCGACTATAACAATATATTATAATAAATAAATGTATTATGGCCATGTTTAACATTCAGTAAAACTATAGACAAATAACATTAAAGACAGAACAATATAAATCTATTCTCAATTCGACCACAGACTAACAATAAACGAAAGAGTATGCATACACACATATAAGTGTCAAATACATGTTAGTGTGTGTAATATTTTTTTTTTTATAAATTAATTTATTTTTATACATAATTTAGAAAAAAATGGCATTCTGCCCTCCTTCTGGATAAGTATTCGAAACTTCATACTTCTCCATCTTCATATAGATAAAAAATGAGATTAAATTTATTTTGTCTTCCACCAAAGATATTACTACACTGCTACTTTACTCGTATTCTCTATCTAACTTAACTACAATTTAACAAGCATGTTAATGTACTTTAAATTCCTTAAAACTCATAATTATAAATTGAGCATATCTTCAAATGGTAAGTATAATTCTGTTTGCTTTAATAATACTAGCTTAAATGAGGTCAGTTGGCCTATCGTAATAAACTCCACAAAAGTCAAACACAATCTTTTTTAGGAAACACTCTGTGGAGGTTGACCTAAGAAGACATTCTGACCTGAGAGCTAGGGGGGAAAGGGATTGTTAGCAATGGAGTTTGACAGCCCCATTGCTAGCAATATCAGGTCGACATCCACGTGGTTCCCCCTGGAAACCTGGCTACCTTATCTGATTCATCCTCACCTATCATCCTTCACTGGTGCCCCACCGGTGTATACCGATAGCGCGGGTGAGGTTACCGTTCCATTATCACCCATTAAACAAAAAAGACCTGAGAGCTATTCCGTATAATCGAAATCCGAACAAATTTCAAAGTCGATAATTAAACGGTAATTAAATTTTAATATTTTTCTAATATGTCAAAAGTTTTATATACGTCATTTCAACGTAATTAGAGACGGCAAGAATAATCGAATAGATAATCGAATATTCGAATAATCGAGATTCTACTGCACTAAAAACGCTCCCCGCTCTTTAAAAGGGTCTAAATAATCATGTATAAACTAAACTAAAGTCTTACTTCTTCTCGATCCTTCTCTGCTGTTTTAACTTGAGCTCTACTAGCTGCGAGTTGTCTTTCGAGTTCTGCTACAGTTGTTTGCATACATCTGAAATAAAACAAATTACTAAACGAATATCAGATTAGGAATAATCGTTTCATTTTAATCCAATCGAAACGCTGCTAGATGGCACAGATGTCACACGGACACGGATAAAACGGTCCAACTAGCAATCATCAAACGAAGCTTGAATATCTCACGTCGATAGTTCGGTTACCAAACAAATTTTATATTCAAATAAGCACGGGCTCCGGAAGCAATAATTTGAGTCGATCGAATAATCCAAAACGATTAAAGCTCGAGTAACGAGTCATATTGCAACGACGAAACGAAACCGATCTAGCGATGCGCGAATCCGAATGATTTTGTTATTCGAATAATTAGTCATCACCAAATTTTATAATTCGTTAATAAAAAAAAGTAATAATATTATTATTTAAAATATATATTATATTATGATATAATTAATTTACAATGAATTATAATTAATTAATACAAATTCACTTTAATAAATATCAAAGTTGCTACTTTCTTGTCTTGTCCATTAACAAAAAAAGAATATCCCAAACAATCGAGTCGAATCGGCTTCATTCGTACCGACTCGTACTTGAACAACTACTAATGAATGATATCTATTAACGATTAACAGAAACGTACAGTGAAAGAAATTTGTAGTCGAATGAATAAAATTATTAATCGAATGAGTTGAAAGTCGTTTGAGTAAACCGAATGTACTGCTCAATCGAATAATTAGTAGTCGAATTAGTAAAGTCGCGCATCGCTAAACCGAATTAAATCTATATTAATGTAGGAAATAGAACTGTCCGACAATTTCCATTTTTGTCGTGATGATAATTAAGTTATTGGTGTAAAATTTCTATGATAATCGAAAATAACTGTTTGATTTGTTTTAATGAAGCTTTTTTCAAGGAAATTTATTAAATAATTTTTTAATAAATTTCCTTGAAAACAGCTATTTTTTTTTCAAGTAGACAAGGATATTTAGGCAACGGTTAAATAGTCCTTTTCCCAAACTATAAAGATTACAATAAGTAATATATACATAATATATATTTTTAAATATCTTCCTAATAAATAACCCCGCTTGATTGTCTGGTGCTCTTCTAAAATAAGAAACGAAGCTTTCAGCTATAGGCTATATATATATGTATATATATATAATTTCTTTTATATATAAATAAAAAATCTATTCGATATTTATTTTAGGATTTTACGGATTGACAGTTTGAGAAATATAATTTATTTAATTTACTTCATAAACATTATGTATATTTTTTCATTGAATACTAAATCCTCTGTTGATATAGATATAGGTACAAACAGATTTTGTTGTACAAAAAAAGGCCGACTTTCAATCGTGTGATTACCAAATTACTGACTCGAATCTCATGCAATCTATGGGATCAATCTTAAAATATATCCTTTTCAATAAAACAAAACAAATAATGTTTATAAATTACGGAATTCTGAGCTGACAAATAGAATAATACAACCAAACGGAGAACCGCCTCCATGTTTTTAAGTCTTTTAACCGACTTAAACTATTTAGATTTAAATTGTACCGTCTTATGTTAAGTCAAAGGAAGTTTTTAACTTACCACTGAGATACAGGCTTAGCCTAGTTCGGTGGCTAGTAGATGTAACTAGGTGTGAATTGTTATTAAATAAAGAATTATCAAAGAATTAAACTAAAGTGACGTAAAAAACTAAAATAATATTAAATTCTTAAAGATTTTATTACATTTTTAATTATATTTTAAATACTATTATAATTTAAATAATTGCCCAATACTAAAGCAAACGACCACATGCTTGCTTAATCTAAAGAGAATTAAAACATTTCAATACATACTTGCGTATAGTGTCCGTGCGTTCGTTGGCCCGCTGCAAGGCTCTGGCCGCTTCATCCCGGGCGCGGTCCAGTTCACCACCGAGCTGAGCACACTCGTGCATCTTCTCCTGCAGCCGCTTCTCGTTTGCCAGCACCGATTCCTCCATACGGATCACGTTAGATCTAAAATGGGGTACATCGATCATATAGTATCTGTACATTGAATGTCATAGTATTTAATTAGGTCGTTAAACTACTAAGCTCGAGTTGCTGCTACAAACAAACAATCTTACTTTCACATTTATGATTATCAGCCCTTAATTACCCCTTACTTTTGTCAGTAGTTGCCAGACTTGGCAGGTAGATTGGCAATTATAGTTAGGCTTTAGAGATGTTTTAAGAGAGACGCTGCCGCCCATTTCTCGCTCTCGCTTAGTCGCCTCTTACGACACCCGCGGAAAAGAAAAGACTCTTTTGTTGTGGCTGCAATTAGATTATGGAACACACTTCCTCATGAAATTAGAAATAGCCCAAGCATTGAGATTTTCAAATCACGTCTGAAGAATTATTACCTCTCACAATGCTGATGTACGTACTTATTACATTTGTGTATTATATATAATATATATCTATCTATTTATATGTATTTACTTATATATATTTTTATTTATTTATTTATACCTATCGGTCTTTTCAATTGTAAGGACATTTTATTTATTTATTTTTTACTATAACATTTAAGTCGATTGGTACACATGTATGTCAGTTTTCTCATATTTGGTTTGCTGGAAGAAATCTCTATTGGAGATAAGCTCGCATTTGTGCACCATTGTGTTTGTTTTTACATTCCAATAACCTTTTGTGTACAATAAAGAATAAAGAAAGAAAGAAAGAAAGAAAGGCGGTGACATATTCTATGCCGGGACCATGTAGGGTTTTTATTGGTTTACAAGATTATTACAAGCAGTTTAGAAATGAATTTTGATATAACCCGATATTCTATATTATAAGTGAATGTACAATATAAATAAATAAATTTGGTTATAAATTTTACATCTGAAAATGTTTACTATTACGTGAATATTATGGCAATAGGACCACTATTGTAGTTACTTTTACTACAATAATATCTTAATTATTATCCTCATTAGACAAATCAACATCATCATCATCATTCCATTCACTGCTGGACATAGGTCTCCCCCAAAATCAACATAATATAAAATAACTCAACATTTTTTAGAAAAAGTTGGGTGATTGTACCTAGTTTGTAGCTTATATATATTTATAAATGTACTCACTTGAGCCTCTCTATCTCATTCTTGAGTGTCATGTTCGCTTCTGTCAACTGAGAGACCCTCTGCTGTAGGAGTGCTATTTGTTTCTCATCGCCAGTTCTCTCTGGAGGCTTCTCTGGAGGTTTCATACTATTATGAAGTAGCACATGCACCTAAATATGAAGATAATAATGATAGAAAACAAATAGTGTTACCACAACTGAATTAGAGGCAGATTAATAATATATCCGTAATTAATGATATTAATAAAAAACTCGAACCTCTTTTTATACAAGAAATATGTAGAAAAGATGAATTGGTAGACGTGTTGAACCGAAACAAACTTTTTGAAAAAACTGTTATAGGCAAATAACCAATTTATGATTCCATTGAAAATAGATTATATTCATCTAGCTTCAGCCTTCAGCCTGCACTGGTGAGCGTTTATAGATCACATTAGGAATTTCCATAAGGATCGATAGGCGCTGATACAAATTGGAAACAATATTGTAAATTTTGGGGACCAATTCAGGAAACGACTTTTTGATTAGTAAAACATTAAACTAAGTGAGATTGTGGCTAAATACAAATATATAAGTAGAGTATGTGATAACTTTAAAATAAATATACAAACAAAACGTCCTATATTAACCAAAATATGGTAATATGAAAGTTATTTTACAGCCTACAGCCTAAACAGTCGTGTACAAGGCTGTTTCAGAAATAATTTCTCCCACGAACACTCAGGTTATGGAATGAGCTCCCTGCCGAGGTTTTTTTTTACAACACAGGTGGAAAATGAGCATGCGGCTCACCTGGTGGTAAGTGACTACCGCCGCCCATGATCACCCACAACACTAACGGCATTGCAGATGTACTGCCGGCTTTTTAAAAAGGAATATGCTCTTTTCTTGAAAGTTATGTTGTCGTATCGGTTCGAAAATACTGCTGCTGGAAGTTGATTCCAAAGAGTGGTTTCTCAAGAGACTACAGTATGGGGTTCTTCAAAAGACGGATAAAGAGGTTTCTTGAGGGTCGGCAACGTGAGCGTAATAACCCTGGTATTGCAGGCGTTCATAGGCTAGGGTAACAGCCTACCATCAGATGGTTGCAGATGTACTGCCGGCTTTTTAAAAAGGAATATGCTCTTTTCTTGAAAGTTATGTTGTCGTATCGGTTCGAAAATACTGCTGCTGGAAGTTGATTCCAAAGAGTGGTTTCTCAAGAGACTACAGTATGGGGTTCTTCAAAAGACGGATAAAGAGGTTTCTTGAGGGTCGGCAACGTGAGCGTAATAACCCTGGTATTGCAGGCGTTCATAGGCTAGGGTAACAGCCTACCATCAGATGGGCCGTATACTTGTTTGCCACCTTAATAATATAAAAAAAGTTACCTTCTCCCTCGCACAGTTCAATTCTCTAGCTAACTGTTCAGCATTGTGTTCAGCAATAGCCTGAGACTGCTGGGCATCTTTTAGCCTCATTTGTGTTGCTTTAAGAAGATCAGGAATCGGCGCCAACTCTTGAAGCTTCTCTTGAAACTTTAACTGTCAAAGGGATTTAATTTCATTATCAAGGATTCAATTTACATGCAAGTTACAAGTGAAATGGTGCTTGTTATAGAAACTGATCTATTCAAGAATACTGCAATTGATTATAAAGTTTTTAATAATATGGACATTGTATTCCTTTACATATTTTTCTCATCTGTAATTGTCTTCCAAACTAGACGGTAAATTCATAAAAAATAATATTCAGAAATGTATATAATGAAGTAAAAATTGTTACATAAACAAAAAAAATATTTTATTATTTTTACTCGTACAAAAATTAGTCCATTACGCTAAGATTGTCTTGAAAAGATTGCTCTCAGCAACAAGACCGCCTTACTGTACTTATACAATTGTATCGTTATATTTATTGTCTTGTTTATTTTCTATATCATATAATGCAAAATTAAATATACTCATTCATTCATTCATTCAAAAAACTAATTTGTCTTGCAAATTGACTTACCTTGATTCTTTGTATTTCCAGATTTATTTGTTCACTGATTCTCGTGTTGTCCATGTCCATCATGTCCATTTGACGACGTTGCTCTTCCACTAGTTGTTGTGCTTGCATATACTACAATATACAAGTTTTATTAAAGCATTAAATTATTTATGTTGTGTGTAACATCTATAATTCCCAATGTAAAATGACGTCAGGCAGGCGGTCGATCGTAAAACCAAACGCCAAAATCTTGACTAATATATATTAGACCGACCCCGAATAATTGAGATAAGGGCAGGAAAACGATGATTATAAGATTTATCATTTTAAAGTACACACTTTAATGTAAAAGAAGATTTATTATACAAATTTAATTATCTATCTTACTAATTCGTACACATAGTTAACTTACCTTAACTCTGTAGTCCTGCAGCTGATCGTTCTGTTCTTTCATCAAAGTCCTCAACTCTTCGATTTCCTCTCTCGCCTCCCTATAGCACTGCTTTAATGTCCTCACATTGACCTCTTGTTCAAATGCCTGTTCTTTAGTACCCATTAACATATTCGTTTGTGTCGTCAAACCTTCGAATTTCATTTCTAGTTCCCTCAACTTGTTTTGAACCTCGCGGTGTTGGCAGCGTTCCTTCTCTAATTCTTCTTTCTTTTTCATTAACTCGGTCCGAAGCATTGCGCACTGTATTAAGAATTGCTTTCCAATTTGTTTTTTTAAATCTTACAACTTAATTTCTAATATTAAGTTCTTCTTAATCTTAGTTGCTCTGGCGATCCAGACCAACTTCGTACGTATTGATATAATTTTAGAGAATCATATGCTGCACAGCCTGTGCTGATAATGTTGCTTTTTTAGAACTTTTTTTAATCGCGTGAGTAGTTCTTGAATTTATCCATTAAAAAAAAAGAAACAAATATTTCCTTTTTGTACTATTATTATATTCTTACGCACAACGACCCAAATGGGAGGCTAAGCGCGGAAAAGAAAGCCCAATTCACAATATTATCATAGAAGTCTCATCATCAGAAGTTTTAGTTACATAAAGTTTGTACAATGAAAAATCTATTAAAATCAACGTCTTACCTCAGTAACTTTGGTTTTAAAGTTCTCTTCTGTCTGTTTTAACTGAATCGTTAACTTTTGCACTTCTTTTTCTGCTGGTGTCTACAAAAAAACTCACATTATTTTCAGCTTTCATTCAAGTTACTTAGTTACTTAAACAGTTTTAATATAAAATATTAAGAAAATGTACTTTTTATTGCAACTCCAGAAAGCAGGAAATCGGGGCTAATTAATAATAATTGCCGGGCCCCTGAAAGCCTTTTAATTATTTTTATTCTTTATTTTCTGCTATTTAATCTTCTTTATATGTAAAAAGCATCTATAATTTTTTATATTTTATTTTTTGGTTACAAAAAACTGCCATCTTTTTGTCGCACCATAAATTTATATTATCTAATTTTATTTTATCTAATTAAACACAATTACTTGAGCCAGAGTTGTTAAATTTGCATTTTCACCATTTTTAACAAAACCGGAAAGGATTTAACACCTAAACTGCAAAAAGCGCAAGACGACCATATCAAATCTCAATTTTTCATCCAAATCTATGGAGGTTCAACGAAATCGGAGGTTGTAGCTGATTTGTGCCTTAATTGTATGAACTATTTAGTGAAGGCACTTCCTTTCTACGGAGCCAAATTCTATTTCTTTTTTTATTAGTTGATTTTGTTTGAAAAAAATTAAATTAGAGAAAATAAACAAAATGATTACCGGAGGCGCATTGGGATTGCACGGCGCCGGGCATGGTGGACAGACACCGCACTGAAATTTAATAATTAAATTTATCATATTAGATCAAAGAACAGAGACGTCATTACTTATCACTTGCATCACATTTCATGTTCAATATTTCGAGTAAATATCTTGACGGCCTGATCATATCGGGCTGACGGCCCACCTGATGGAAAGTGGTAACCGTCGCCTATAGACATGAGCAGTACCATGGACATAGCAGAGTATACTGTTTCGCCCATGATACCTCCCATGCGTTGCCATTCCTGAGGACTCAGGTGTTATTCCTCCGTACCCAGTAAATTCACGCCATATGACCCACTCTTCAAACCGAAACACAGCCATGCAAACACAACTGCTTTACGGTTGAAACACGAATGGGACAGAGGTACACAAGCAATCGACTTTAATACAAAGGCTCCCTCTGCCTTTTCATCTTCGCCGATCATCCCTCACTGGTGCCCCGCCAGTGTATACAGATAGCACAGGCGGGGTCACCATTCCATTATCATCCATTAAAAAATCTATGGGGGAGGTTCCGGCTTGTCACATCAGCCGTTACCAGCTGTGAACAGATGTGACAATCATGATTTCTATCACTGTGTACTTTGTCAATATAATAAATTCACAGCTTCAAGTTTAACCATTCGTACAAGTTTGCTAACCATGAAGTTATTCATGTACCAATGAGTAAATTAGTTGTTTACGGTTGCAAAATACCAACATTGTTAGCTTCTCAGAAGAGAGATAATGTTTAGAGTGCGGTGTAACGTATCTGTTCGGATGTGAGAACACAGAAGCTATCGACTCACTTAACTATGCTTGGATAAGTCATATCATATTATGCGACATGTGTGGCATTATATTGAACTGGCTTTTACCCGCGACTTAAGAATCTTAAGAATATCTTTATTTCCTTTGACAAAATTAGCCTATGGTAGATACAATATAGCTATGACCCCACACTAGGCAAAGCCTGTCTCGTGGAAGTCAAAGCAAGTAATTTTACAGTTATGGTGCGGCGAACTGGGTTAATCTAATTATATAATGTTTCATGTGAGTTTGGGTACGCGAGTGTGTTTTTCTATCTCTCTCTCTCTCTCCGCGCGCGCGCGCGCGCGTGTGCGTGTGTGTGTGTGTGTGCGCGTGTGTGTGTGTGTGTGTGCGTGTGTGCGTGTGTGCGTGTGTGCATGTGTGTGTGTGTGCGTGTATAAGCATGTGCATATGTATATAGATGAAGGTAGTGAATATACAGTTCCGTCCCATATATCAAAGTGCGTTTTTTTTCTGTATCTTCGTATGACTTCGTCTGTATGACTGGAATATGTTGACTTACTCACTCGTAAAAAGTAACCTATGTCCTTTTCCATTCCATATGGTCTACGTACCAAGTACGTATCATGTCGATTGGTTGAATTACTAAGGTGCTGCAGAACATACTCCTTCCATACAGGGGAAATTTTGCCAGTAGTTGCTACACTTGGCAGATGGATTAGCAACCGCAGTTAGGCTTTTAGACATGTTTTAAGAGAGACGCTGCTGGCCATCCCTCTACCATTAAGTACTTTTAGTACTCTTACGACACCAACTAGAAAGGGAGGGGTGGCCTATTCTATGGCGGGACTACACAACTATATATAGAAGTAAAAAAAATTAGGTTAATAATATTACAATAGGGATTGTAAGTATATTAGCTGTATTTCGCGGCATCACTCGTTTTATTGCACTTGAACAAAAGATACAGCGATTAGTTTAACAACTTATTAGCAACTGTAGCTTTATCTCTAAAAGAGATCTCTTCAAGCCAATCCAAAACACTTAGAAAATAATTATTCGTTTATTTACAAATTTATTAAACTCTGTTGAAACAGACTTTCAGTTACCAGGGGCTATATTAAAAACCTGCTCTCAGCAACAACGTACGTTGAACAAACAAAAGGGCTAGTTGCGTATGGCAGGCTGTCTGTAAACGATGCCGTATAAATTGCACTCTTTGTGCCCTTATTATAATATACTCGTATCTCATCGTAACATGGAGAAATGGGATAGCTCACACAATGGGCATCGGATTACATGCTGTACCTATTAGCCGCCCTTAACAATATCCCCACCTACCGCCTCCCGTGAGCAATAACCACTTTATTACGTATACTTGTCAGGAAATGAGATAACAGATTATACCTACTCATGTTTTGGATGGAGCAAAAAATGAATAATAGATTACCAACATGAGACGCCATGGCGTTGAAAAAAAGGTAGTACAATTTTTACATTGTACTCACTGGCTGAAGAAAATATTCATTGAAGTAATAGATAGATGATTTATTTATATCTATTCAAAGCGTACAAATAAGAACAAACACAGTGGCGTGAATTTACTGGGTACAGAGGAATAACACCTGAGTCCTCAGGAATGGCAACGCATGGGGGTTATCATGGGCGAAACAGTATACTCTGTTATGTCCATGGTACTGCTCATGTCTATAGGCGACGGTTACCACTTTCCATCAGGTGGGCCGTCAGCTTGTTTGCCATTCTAAGTTGTATAAAATAAAACAGATGAGAATGCACAAAAGAAAGAGACAAAAAACACAAAATGAAAGACAATACATGAAAAAAGTAACATACATTCTTTCGTGTGTGTACCATAGTAACACAAGTGTTTCACGAAAAAAAATCTACTTTAATTATGGAAAAACCAGTTGATTTATAAATTAAAGTACTGTACCGATTTCGATAATATTTCTATGGAACTAATCTATAAATATATCCTTTCAGCCGTGTGGTCTCTGCATAGAATAGGCCGTTCCTTTCCCGTGAGTGTCGTAAGAGACGACTAAGGGAGAGCGAGAGATAGGCAGCAACGTCCCTCTTAAAACATCTCTAAGCCTAACTGCGGTTACCAAACCTGCCAAACCTGGCAACTACTGGCAAAACCCCCCTTGGGAGAAGCTTATGTCCAGCAATTGACATTTAAAAGCTTATACTGTGATAATGATTACATTACACCTTTTCTCCCTTTTAAAATTTAAGTAATTATCTGGCGTGATCGAAAGATACCTTATAACTAAAGTATATTGGGGGGAAAGGGATTGTTAGTAATGGAGGCTGAGAATTCCATTGCTAACAATACACCCAACCAGGTCGACCTCCTCGCGGTTCCCCCTGGAAACTATCATGGTTAATTCCTGATGAATTCATCATGATGGGCTAACTGGCCCGTTTTCATTCTCATCTATCACCCTTCACTGGTGCTCCGCCAGCGTATCCCGTTAGCGCAGGCGGGGTTACCATACCATTATCACTCATCGAAAAAAAAAATACTAAAGTATATTTAAATAAAAAAACAACTAAATATGTAATTAATTAACGGAGATTCTGAACCCATCTTAATACGTAACCGGGCGTGTTCGTTTACGATTTAAATTTAAACAACATTTGGCTATGAAATGTCGAATGGATGGTGGACGGTGGTGGTGGGCGGTCGGGTGGCATTCGGCGAATTCAATACGCAAACCGTTCCCTTACGTTGGAGTTCGTTTGACAAATCAATTGCATTACGGACAAATGAATGAGATTTATTAATCAACAATCAATGTTTTTTTTAACAGATTCCAAACAGGTTTACCAGAGAGGGACTTTGTACAAAAGTCGTTTGCTCGGGTTCCTCTGTCACATTCGTGTTTCAACCGTGAAGCAGTTGTGTTTGCATGGCTGTGTTTCGGTTTGAAGGGTGGAATATGACGTGAATTTACAGGGTACAGAGGAATAACATCTGAGTCCTCAGGATGGCAACGCATGGGGGGTATCATGGGCGAAACAGTATACTCTGTTATGTCCATGGTACTGCTCATGTCTATAGGCGACGGTTATCGCTTTCCATCAGATAGACCGTCAGCTTGTTTGCCATTCTAAGTTGTATAAAAAAAAAACAGGTTTATTATTTTTTTTATTTAACTTTATTTTTTTATGTCATTATTATCATCATGTCAGCCGTTTAGAGTTTTTAGTTTAGAGAGACGCTGCTGCCCATCCCTCGCCGTCCCTTAGTCGCTTCTTACGACACCCATAGGAGAAGAAAGGGGTTACTTTTGTTTATCTATCTATACTTGTAATAAATCTGTAGAGAGGTCAATTCTATACATGAAATATATTTACGAAATAACTATCAGGGGGTGATTAGTGATCGATACTGATGCCAAAAATGCAATCAGTAATTCTTTTTCTGTCTGTGTGTATGTTCGTTATATAAACAAAAACTACTCGACGGATTTTAACGAAACTTGGTACAATTATTCTTCATACTCCTGGGCAGGTTATAGTATATACCTATAATATGTAAATAAATATAACTTTATATCTAACTCTGGTCCTGCTTAGGGTTAAGGAAAAAAGACAAATTATTAGAACTATTGAGGACAGAAGGGGAAAAATGTTGGGACACTTGATACGACACGACGAACTTATGAACATTATAATAGAAGGTAAGATAGAAGGAAGGAGGGGGAGAGGGACACCGAGACATCAGGCAGATCAAGGAAGGAGTTGGTGTCGTGTCGTATCAAGAGGTGAAGAGACTCGCTGAAAATCGTAGTGAGTGGCAAGAGCTCCACCGACAAGAGCGCAGCGCTTAAATAGATAGATAGATCTAACTCTCAACCATCGAAAGGTGAGAATGTTATGAGGAAAAAACAACAAGAAAGTATATATTTATTCGACCACCAACATCATACCAAATAACCGCATCACCGCTCCCAGTGTAAGTGGAAAAACGGGCGCTGACAGCAACTTTGTCTTATACTGTTTAAGGATAAACAAGTCGGGTAATAAACATGAATAATTGACTATCTTTTTCCTGCGGCTTTGTGCGCATGGACTTTGGGAGTAGCTAAATATATTTTTCTTTATACACACACCACGTATCGTGTCTGATTAACTCATACAACATTCATAAAAGGTACATAAAGTTACACACAGTTATAACAATAATACCAAACAAAAAAAAGAAATATAAAAAAGACATTGTTTCCACTTCTCTTATATTTTTTCCTCAAGTATTTTCTATATAAAGAACGTAATAAGAAAATATAATATTTAAGTAAACTTAAATTGTCACTACGAATAGGCAATAGAATAATAAAAAAAATAACTATTTAAAAATGCTTCAATCTAGTCAGATTTAAATGTTTTTATTCAAATAAAGTTATACTGATTCCAGTATGGTTAATATTTTTATTCAAAAATATTTCTTTTTTTCAATAATAAAAAAATACATATTGTCAGTAAATTAAAATATATATATATATATGATATAAAAAAGTTGGACATTATTCATAAACTCGTCTCATCTTTAATGGGTTTTCTTGCTTTTGACATTGTTTATTTAATTACCAAAGATTATGCCATGGATTTACTTACAGCTCTGCTCATCGGAGGCACCGGAGGACCGCCAGCCTAGAAAAGAGTTAACATTTTATAAGAATACATCTTATAACACCAAAAAAAAACCTCAACTTTTACGACAAAGTTATTATTTCAAGTATAAGCACTCTCGGCTTTACTTTCGACAAATTATACTCATAGATTATGTTCCTAAAATAGCTTATAGAATGAAATCAAAGGGATTTTGCCAGTAGTTGCCACGCTTGGCAGACTGATTGGCAACCGAAGTCAGGCTTTAGAGATGTTTAAAAGGTACGCTACTGCCCATCCCTCGCCCTCCCTTAGTCTCTTACGACGCAAACGGGAAAGGAAGGGGTGGCCTATTCTATGCCGGGACCACACATTAGATAAATAAGAGAAATTAAACCATAAAGTCAATTAGAAATTGAGTGGCAAATGACAAATCTGATTATTTTACGACGACAATTTTAAATGATAAATCGACACCCATGTTTTATATGATCGTTTAATCTAATGCAAAACCATCTTCAAATTTGCATAGGGACTATGTGAAATAGGCAACCACTTAAAAGCGTTCCCGGAAATTTCCATGAAAACATAAAATAAACCGGGACCCTTTATTATTACATCCCCGTACTGCATAATAATACTCCTTTATATTGGTAAGATTGGAGGGACTTCCACCACGTATTGTGAGACATTTGCTCTCGGCGGTAATTTAAAGAAATTATTGTATCTAAGAAATCCAGTAAAATTCGAAAAGCCAGAATCAAATTAAATTCTCGAAAGTATATGGAAACAGTCGAGTTCTTTACAGCATTTATGGGAGATTATACATTTATTTATATATATAAAAATTAATGCCACTTATCGTTGTAATTTTATAACTCAAGAACGGGCTCACCTATCCAAACTAAATGTTTAGGCTTTGTTCGGACTATTTAGTAGATGGTTTATGTGAAGTTTGCACAAAATCGGCTGAGTAGTTCTTCATTTATCACATTTTTTGTAACATATGAATTTAATAAATGGCGGATCATTTTGAAATATATATTGTGTGACAGTACAAACATGTTGTTATGTCATTCATGCGGTCATTTCATTTTGGACTTGCTTCGATTAAAGCAATTTGTCAGCGATAATTATTGCTTTATGTTTATATTTTTAAACATATTATTCAAATCGGCTATTCCATTCAATAGCTATTACGAATTTAATAATTCATAGAAAGAGAAAAAATAACGCTGTCGCATTATACATGTTATTCGTACCTATTTTAGCGGTGCCGAATAAGGATAAGTGGGGGCGGGCACATCTATGAAATAGGTAGCTAGGTAGGTACAGGTAAAAATGAAAAATGTTGTAAAAATGTCCACCTGTGCGAAGCCAGGACGAGCCGGGTAAGCAGGGTTACCACTAAGGTGGCAAATGGGCATACAGCCCACTTAATGGTAAGCGGTTATCGTAGCCTATAACGCCTGCAATACCAGGGACATTACGCGCGTGTTACTGACCCTTTACCTATTTTTTTGAAGGACTTCCTGAGACATTGATATATGCTATTCCATTATCATCAATAAAAATGCCTTACCGGTTGCTCAAAGCAAGTGTTCTGCCCTCCGCCGCCCCGGCATGAACTCATCGCTGCCCCCTTTACAGCATCCATCTCCACTCGGATATGGCGAACTTCTAACTCCAAACCGCCGAGCTGTTTCTCCTGTAATAAGCAATGGTGTCGTCTATACTCCTATGCTAATTTTAAAAAGAGGAAAGATTGATATATTTTTATTTGTTTATATTTATTTCTTACCAGAGGGAGATTTTGTACAAAAGTCGTTTGCTTGGGCACCTCCGTTTCATTCGTGTTTCAACCGTAAAGCAGTTGTGTTTGCATAACTGTGTTTCGGTTTGAAGGGTGGGATATGGCGTAAATTTACTGGGTACAGAGGAATAACACCTGAGTCCTCAGGAATGGCAACGCGTGGAGGGTATCATGGGCGAAACAGTAAACTCTGTTATGCCTATGGTACGACTCATGTCTATAGGCGACGGTTACCACTTTCCATCAGGTGGGCCGTCAGCTTGTTTGCCATTCTAAGTTGTATAAAAAAATTTGCAAACTGATTACATTGGACCCCGCACTAGGCGAACCTGTATCGCGGAAACCCATAAGGGATTACCAAGACACGGTGATTTACAAATATATATTTAATTGTTTAAAATGGATAAACTGAAAAACTACTTAATCGATTTTAAAAATTCTTTCACCTGTAGAAAGCCAAATTATTTGCGAGTAATATAAGGTATTGCCGTATAGTCCCGGCATAGAATAGGCCACCCTTTTCTTTTCCGTGAATATCATAAAAGGTGACTAAGGGAGGATAAGGAATGGGCTAGCAGCGTTCCTCTTAAAACATTTCCAAAGCCTAACTGCGATTGCCAATCCGCCTGCCAAGCGTAGCAACTACTGGCAAACCCCCATATGATGGAAGCTATGTTCAGCAGTGGACAGTAACCAGCTGATATAATACAAGGTACGAATAGCTTACTAGTTCTCGTGTGGACACCTTGTAACCCTCCAATTTTTCGACTAACGCTTGAGCTTGGCTTGCGTCCACTTTTTCTTTCTAAAAGAAACATATAATTGCCACTACAGTGTTACTCTTTATTCTAGCAAATTGCTATTGACTCTATGATGTTACCACAAATGACGTGTTATAAATTTAACTTTCCTAAATAGTTTGAAATCTTTTTTTTTTTTTTAATAATAAATAGATTTATTTTCTTTTCACAATTTATCACAGTGAGATACAACGAGACATGCTTATATTAAAGTAATCAAATTATAAATATAATTGTGAGAGACTTGCGCCTGAGATAGGTATAAGAATACCTGTATTACAGGTAACCAGGGCCCTCTCTTTTTATCCTACATACATTAAATACACATACGCAGTGTTCTGTACTAAGCAGACACTTTGTACCTCTTTTTACGAAAATTGCGCGGACGGAGGAGTATGAAATTTGGCACACTTATAGTTTATACCGAGAAGGAGTGCTGAATGCTGATATTTTTTAAAATTATACGTAAAAAATACATTAAATCAATAAAAAGAAAAACATTACACACACTACCATGAAGATTGTGGAACTTTTGCTAGTAATTGTGGTGATCGACCTTCGAGTGTTGGCAGTCGCACACCTAATAACGGTAGCGGGATTAGATATAAAGATAGATAGATAGATACTCTTTATTGTTTCCTCCAAAAGATTACAATAGTAAACTTATTATAAATATAAATAATTTCAAGAAATAATCACAGTGAGAAAACAATGGGCGATCTATTCAAATGAGCAGTAATATAGGACTCCACAAGTTACACCTTGTTCAGTAAAACATTATAAATACTAATCAAGATTATATCTCAATTACTCTTACCTGATTACAAGCACACGCTTCAGTTTCTTGTTTAAATATTTCCTGATTCATCGCAGTTGCATCGCCCTAACAACCAAAAGACGATTGTTTAAAACATACTCCTTTGATCTTAGCTTAAAGCAATTACTACCTAAAATTACCGAGTACAATTTAATATACTAGAGGATGTAATTGGCTACCATTCCTGCTGTAATTCTCAGTTATTCATCATCATACCAGCCTTTAACTGTCCACTGCTGAACAAAGCCTCCCATTGAGGGGTTTTGCCAGTTGTTGCCATGCTTGGCAGGCTGATTGGCAATCGCAGTCAAGCTTTAGAGATGTTTTAAGAGAGACGCTGCTACCTATATCTTGCCTTCCCTTAGTCGTCTCTTCGACACCCACGGGAAAGGAAGAGCTGGCCTATTCTATGCCGAAACTATACGGTCACTTAGTTATTATTCCGTTTAAATTGTAATATGGTAAAAAACTGTTAATCTTATTACTCGGGGGAAAAGGGGTTATTAGTGATGGAGACTGAGAATCCCATTGCTAGCAATATACCCAACCATTTCGACCTCCTCGCGGTTCCCCCTGGAAACTATCATGGTTAATTCCTGATGAATTCATCATGATGTGCTAACTGGCCTGTTTTCATTCTCATCTATCACCCTTCACTGGTGCTCCGCCAGCGTATCCCGTTAGCGCAGGCGGGGTTACCATACCATTTTCACACAGCAAAAAAAAATATTACTCAGAAACGACAAATTCATGAATGATGCCTCAGTACCATGATAGTTTCCAGGGGGAACCGCGAGGAGGTCGACCTGGTTGGGTGTATTGCTAGCAATGGGATTCTTAGTCTCCATTACTAACAATCCCTTTCCCCCCCAAAATGCAGATTAGCACCTCTATCAAGTAGCTTGCTAGCTCGTTTACCATCTCTAGTAATATTAGAAAATATTTATTCACTCTTAATAAAATTGCTAAAAACATTTCATAAAATATGGAAAGTTTAACATGTATTTGATACTTGATTCACACGAGAGATATGTGTCCCAATTCCCACATGTTATTCGATGTTACCATGAATAGAATAGAAGCAATTTCACGGTGGCCCTATTATCGTATTATGAGATGATAATCATTACTAAATTGCCTACGTCTTCTTAGACCACACCGAGGTATCTCTTTGTTGTCACGGCCTTGCAATTTCACAGCCTGATAATTTAATACTATACTTTAACTGCACACTGTCATCTTGCATACGTAAACTGGCATGCAAAGTACCCGTCTATTAAATCTCATTTAAATCTGTTAAATTGTAACCAACCTCTAAATATCAATACTAAAATTCTTTACAAATTTTACATCAATACATATTTATTTATTTATTTAATAAGGTTCACATACAACTTTTACATTTTACATGCAACTTAATAACGCAAAAAATAATTTTGCCAAATGTAAAAATCTTTTATACGTGAACACCACATGCACTATTATAATATTTAATAAATCATTAACAATAACAGTAAGATTATCTGAATAATAAGTAGATTAAGAACTTATGTCTAAGATTTTCCGTAATAAGCTATATCTGCTGTTGGTGTGTTGTTGGACCCCAAAATTGATGTCAATTTGATCGCTGTGAGCATTCATATAAAAAATATAACAAATACATATAACAAAATCGCATCTGATCGCCGTCTGTACATGGAAGATATATAAGTAAAACTATTATAGAAGGGCTATATATAAAGGGCTTATCTAATTTTTTTAATGCAACTTAGAATGGCAAACAAGCTGACGGCCCTTATGAAAAGTGGTAACCATCGCCTATAGACATGGGCAGTACCATGGACATAACAGAGTATACTGTTTCGCCCATGATACCCCCCATGCGTTGCCATTCCTGAGGACTCAGGTGTTATTCCTCTGCACCCAGTAAATTCACGCCATATCCCACCCTTCAAACCGAAACAGCCATGCAAACACAACTGCTTCACGGTAGAAATGCGAATGGGACTAGTGTGTTGTCCTCAGGAATGGCAAAACATGGGGGTATCATGGACGAAACAGTATACTCTATTATGTTCATGGTACTTTTGATATCTACAGGCAACGGTTACCATTTTCCATCAGGGAAGTTGCCAGCTTGTTTGCCATATTAAGTTGCATAAAACAAATAAAACAAACAAACATGTATTAAAGGCGAATTAAGTAAGACAGAATAAGAACTGACGGTACTAGATTCAGAGTATTATAGAAAAGCATGTGTATTGTTTTTAAATAAATAGTTTTTGAAAGAAAATAAAAAAGCGTTACAGTTCAACCGTAAAGAGCACTGATCCTCGCGTAGTGTAACAGATAGAGTTTATAATTTCATCCATTTTTATTTTGTTTAATTTTTTCAATCGCACAATACTAGTTATGGAAAGAATTAAATTACAAAATTACTACTTATTGATCAATCTATTGACTGCGCACAGGTGCGATTGTATTTTTCTGTAATGTAATGTAATGTAATGTAATATAATGTAATGTAATGTAATGTAATCTGTATTAAAGTCATATAAAACCAATTATATGACTTTAATACAGATACTTTAGCAAAAGTGAGCGCAGAAATAGACTGACGCGTATAGCGTCTTCATATCACACTAATTAGAGATGTTTTATAAAATGAAATAGTTTGAAATCCACTGTCGTTGTGAGAACAAAATTGCAACAGGGAATGTGTAATATTTAATATATACCTCCGGATTGTTTCTATTTAATTTCTCGTGCAGTAAATAATTCTCTTTACTCATCAACTTCAGTTCCCCTTGCAGTCTCTTCACTTGTGCACGACACGTCTCAAGATTTTGATCTTTCGTCATCAACTCCTTGTACAGTATGTACCTGCAATATAAATTAATACACACCTTAATTTATCCATTTTGTTTCGTATATCCTTCTCTTATTTGTTCATATTTGTGAAAATTTTGTGAACTAGCTTGGATCCATAAGTTTTGACAGAAAACATCTTGAATTATAATTCTTAATTTAAAATCTATTGACATACTTCAAAACTGTTTTCCATAAAGAAAAAATAAAAACATTATAGCTAAAAATAAGGTTTTAACAGAAATTAATAATAACGTAATCAGTATGAATAAATTATTTTGTAAAAAATATAATTACGTTATTGTAAAAATTGCATATAGCTATCACTAGCATTACCATATCAGTTCTTAACTGTCCACTGCTGAACATAACTTTCCCTTAGAGGGTTTTCATAGTTGCCATGCTTGGCAGGCGGATTGGCAACCGCAGTCAAGCTTCAAAGACGTTTTAAGAGGAACGCTGCTGTCCTTCCCTCGCCTTGCCTTAGTCGCCTCTTACGACACCCACGGGAAAGGAAGGGGTGGCTTATTCTATGCTGGGACTACACGGCAAAGTATGCTATAAACAAGTTAAATTAATAGGTTGAACTATAATTAAAATTTTGGCTTCATAAAAAAGAGTTTAAATACTAAATAATGATAAATAATATCAATAAATATTATGTAGTATAATTAGATTAATAAACATAAATTAAAATGCTCCCAAAACTGATCTATGCGTGACATCATTACCAACATCATCTCAGCAATTATCCGTCTACTGTTGGACATAGGCCTCCCCATAATTAAGAGGTTTTGCCAGTAGCTGTCACGCTTGACAAGTGAGCTGGCAACCGCAGTCAGGCCTTTGATGGTGTTTTAAGAGACACCCACGGAAAGACAGGGGTGGCCTATTCTATGCCGAAACCTACACGACGGCATAATTGAAATAATTTACTAACACATTCACTGCAATGAACAAATAATATAGTACTTTACCTTTTGACTTCTAAATCAGCGTTATCGGCCACCAATTTTTCTTGCATATCGTAGCTCTCACTCAGCTTCCGTGTCAGATCTATTTCCTTAAAAAAACAGAACCATTATTACTTCGTAGATGTAACAGTATATTATTACTAGAGGGAGTCTTTGTACAAAAGTCGTTTGCTTGGGCACCTCTGTCCCATTTAACTGTAAATAACTACTTGGTACAGTATTTTTTTTAAGTAGCTTAGAATTGCAAACAAGCTGATGGCCTACCTGATAGAAAGTGGTACCGATTGCCTATAGATATGAGCAGTACCATGAACATAACAGAGTATACTATTTCGCCCACGAGACCCCCCATGCGTTGCCATTCCTGAGGACTCAGGTGTTATTCCTCTGTACCATGTATATTCACTGCCATATCCCAACCTTCAAACCAAAGCAATACCATGCAAACACTACTGCTTCACGGTTGAAACACGAAGGGGACAGAGGTGTCCAAGCAAAAGACTTTTGTACAAAGTCTCTCTCTGGTATCTTGCGGTAGTCTCATGTTTAGCAATAGAGAATACGATTAAAATAACGAAGATGACATCTTAAATTCTAACCAAATTATTTCAGTCAATTTATATTTTAATACCAGAAAAAAAAAGTCAAAACTAACATTACAAGATCAAAGGAAACACAATATTTGTTGCAGTATATGTATTATTTTGCATATTTTTTTTTCTACAGTCGATTTTGAATTTAGTTTTTCCATCGAATACAGTATTGAGGACGTACAGATTTGCTGCGTATTGGAGGGCCGCATACAACTAGCCCCGGAACGTCGTTTGAAGGTCCACCAGCCAGGAGCACTGTAGGATGATCCATCTTCATCCCATGATGAAATGGTGGCTCTGTAGAAGATACAAAATTGTTTCGGGTGGCTCTTTATTTTGGGAAATTTTATATATTCTAATGAGAAACAAGCTAAATTCTTTCACTGTTAATTTTTGGGCCCAATTAATATATAACATCGGTGTACCATTCTTATGAAGGTGGCACGGTTTTTAAACTACAAGTTTGGGAAATAAGCGTACAGTCTATCTATATACAAACTACTACCACAGTTCATAATCGCTTGCAATAGCAAAGGCACAAATCGCATCTAATCTTACCAGAGGGAGACTTAGTACAAATATCGATTGCTTGGGTACCTTTGTCCTATTCGTGTTTCAACCGTGAAGCAGTTGTGTTTGCATGGCTGTATTTCGGTTTGAAGGATGGGATGTGGCGTGAATTTACAGGGTACAGAGAAATAACACCTGAGTCCTTAGGAATGGCATCGCATTAGGGGGTATCATGGGCGAAACAGTATACTCTGTTATGTCCATGGTACTGCTCATGTCTATAGGCGACGGTTACCACTTTCCATCAGGTGGGCCGTCAGTTTGTTTGCCATTCTAAGTTGTATAAAAAAAATCATATTGACGATCAGATACTGCCGATAGTTATGTTATCCTTTATTTTGTTTCTCCAATAGTACTCGTTTTAGTATATATTTGAAACAAAATAACCTAGAGACCTTAACTTCCTAACTTCCACATCACTGTTCACAATTCGCTGGTACACTCACAGCATTAGCTGAGCCAGTTCCTTTTACTTCTTGTATATGTATTTTCTATATTTTATATTGTGATTGTGTATTTACTAGCAATAAATGTTTTCTATTCTCTTCTATTCTTCTATTGTCTCTCTAGGTCATACTGTATAGGTTATAAGTGTGGAGAAATCAAGAGTCTCCAAAAGTAGACATTCTGTTTTCTCTGTCTACCCCATAACAAATTCGGTAGGTGTATAAATAGATGTATAATCATTATTAGCATACCAACCATTAACTGTCCACTGGCGACTGGCATCTGGCGACGAGATGATTCACTGATCATTATCATCATGCCATTATCCGTCCACTGCTGAACATAGACCTTCCTCATAGACTCCCATAAGGAACGGTCCCGAGCCATCTGCATCCAATAACTCCCTCCAATGCATTTCAGGAGGGGGTAAAGGGATTGTTAACAATAGAGTTTAACAGTCCCATTGCTAGCAATATACCCTATTAGGTCGACCTCCAAGCGGTTCCCCCTGAAAACCATCGTGAACAATTCTTGTTGAATTTGTCACGATGGGCTAACTGACCTTCTTCATCCTCACTAATCATCTATCACTGGTGAACAGCCAGTATATACCGATAGCGCAGGCGGGATTACAATTTCATTATCACCCATTAAAAAAAATGCATTTCAGGTCGTCGCTCCATCAAGCCGATGGTCCTATACAGTTGGCCATATGCAGAAGCTTCAAGTAACTCAGCGAGCTATGGAGAGGGCTATGCTTGAAGTTTCTTTGCGTGATAGAATACGAAATGCAGACAACAGCAGAAGAACCAAAGGAGTCAATGATAAGCAAGTTCAAACGCAATAAGCTGGTCACATAGCTCGAAGAATCGACATCCGATGAAGTAAAAAGTTTCTTGAATGACGCAAGTAAATGCAGTATAATAACCCCTCACTAGATATACAATACTAACCAGTTCGTGATCTCACACACCCTCTTGCGGGAGGATGGGGAAACTAGTCCGGAGCCCTAATAATACTAACCGTCAATACTGCCAGGTATATATTCTTTACACGGACAATCATTTTTCTTTTTCAATTCCGCTACTTCAGCACCCACCAGTCGCTGCACGATCTTCGTGAGGCGTTCGAAACGCTCCATCTCACGGAGCAACAATTCATTTCTCTCTCCAAGTTCCCTTACGTCGGCTTCGGTCAGGGTTGCTTTCTATATTACAAATCTATACATATAATAAAACTGTAAAGATCGAATGTCTGTACGTAGCAAAAATAACGCCAAAAACCAAGTTTGAAGTGAAATAGATTTTTCTATTTGTAAGGGCTAATCTCCGAAACGACCGATAATCTCCAAGTGATTTAAATAAAATTTTGCATAATACCACCATGCTTACATACCCGGTCAACCTTTTAGATACTTTTAATCACGGAAAATTAAAGAATTCCCATTGGATTGTTAAAAAACTATAGTAACTTATACAGTTTAGTACACGACCTACTTAAGTAAAGTCGTTTTGACCTAAGACAAAGAGTGAGAACGACACGTCATTTGGTAATTTTGGTCCAGTACTCCCAGACATAGTTCACTACAATAAGAAGGTCAAACATGTTAATCGAAGGAATAACAAATACTACGCGGACAAAGTCGCGGACATTATCAAGTTAGTACTAAGAGAAATCAGTAAATATATAATAATTTATTCAGTAAACATTGTTATACTTCACAAAGGAAAATCATACAAATATAGCATATATAGGAAATAAAGGTAATAGGTAATGTTTGCCGAAATGGTCCCTGCTCAGCGTTATGCTGCAACTGAGAAGTTACAGCGCTAATTTTCAGCGGAAGCCCTTCGAGTAGAACAGTTTACAATTTTTGCATGCAATATGTGAACACACAACCGTTTAGCTACACTAAAGCGCTTCTCATTTCCTTCTCGTTTGAAGCGACATTTAAATGACATAGATTCTGAATTATTCGGATTTTTTTGACTATATTAGGCGATCGTGAGATCAATTCTGAACTGTCATATAACATTATTTTTGTAAAAAAAAAAATTAATCTCGTATTGATCCTTTATTAATTTTGTGACGATAGAAGCTGCTGGTTTTTGTGAAGCAAAAATTTATTTCTTACGAAGCAAAACGTATTTGTACGAGTAGATATGCGAACGCATTGTTCTGAATTATTTTTATAATACTTAAAATAACAGATAAGTTGACCACCCACCTGATGAAAAGTGGTAACCGTCGCCTGTAGACATGAATAGGTACGTTATAAAATATGTTGTGATACCCATGCTACCAGTCACGTGTTGCTATTCCTGAAGACTGTAGTGTTTTTTTTTATGGGTGAAAATTGTATGGTAACCCCGCCTGCGCTAACGGGATACGTTGGCAGAGTACCAGTGAAGGGTGATAGATAAGAATGAAAATAGGCCAGGTAGCCCATCATGATGAATTCATCAGGAAATAACCATGATAGTTTCCAGGGAGAACCGCGACGAGGTCGACCTGGTTGGGTATATTGCTAGCAACGGGATTCTCAGTCTCCATTACTAACAATCCCTTTCCCCCTGGACTGTAATGGTATGCCTCCGTACCCAAATGCCGCGTACTGAATTCGACTACAAATATTTTGAACAATGTAAGATATTGACAAAACATCTCTCATCTCTTATCAGTTGTTAAGTTAATAAATGGCTCATTGCCATCAGTGTATTGTGAAATATGTAACTTTGTCATGACCTTATTTATCTTGTGATAGGACGCCCATATCCGCTTAAAGGTCCATGGTGATAATCAATGAACTTGTTTAAATGCGTCGTCTCACATGATCTAACAACTGATTCAGAAATGGCTAAATCACATTCGTCGGTTATGCTTAAAAACTTTTTATAGATCTTGGAGACAAAACTCGCCGGACACTGCCTACAATTATAAATTTGCTTTTTCATAGTTAAAACTGAAGTTAAGTATACCTTTTGTATTTCCAAAAGCCGAGCTCGCGAGTCGCGGATGATCCGAGAGCTCTTTCGCGTCTCATTGTGTACCTCGCGGATTTGTCGCGACAGGGGGTCCTCAATGTCGTAGCCCATGGGGGAGCCTAAATTAGAATTTATTCTTCTAATATAAAACTCCATTGAGGGGCATATATAGATACTTGAAACTATTACTATAACACACTTACATGATCTGGATTTCTGAAACAAAAGCAGACTCTTAGGAGCTTTAAACTATAAAAATATTTTTATTTTGTTATATTTATAGCTAGTCTTTCTTTTTTATACAACACAGAATGGCAAACAACCTGACGGCCCACCTGATAGAAAGTGGTAACCGTCGCCTATAGATATGAGCAGTACCATGGACATAACAGAGTATACTGTTTCGCCCATGATACCCCCCATGCGTTGCCATCCCTGAGGACTCAGGTGTTATTCCTCTGTACCCAGTAAATTCACGCCATATCCCACCCTTCAAACCGAAACACAGCAATGCAAACACAACTGCGTCACGGTTGAAACACGAATGGGACAGAGGTACCCAAGCAATCGACTTTTGTACAAAGTCTCCCTCTGGTCTATGCACGCAAAATTGTTCGTGCAAGTAATTGTAATAAAATAATAGAATTATTTTTATAATCACCTTTGACAAATTAGGGCATATGCACTTTCCTTTGTCCATTTTCTTGACTGATCCATCTGTTCCATGGTCTTTGCGCATGAATAACCTGGCACATCTCCTTACCCCATCCCTGGTTGGACTTGACGACTGAGCCATATCCCCGGAGCTGTCCGGAATTGAAGTCTGATTTTTTATATTAATTGATTGGTTTGTTCGAAGTTCCTCTTTTATATCATGTTGTTTGTTTAACTGCAAGCAAAATGGAAGACAATTAGTTTTAGTATAAAATTTTATAAGGCGTTACAGTTTATATTTACTGTATAAATACGAGTCTCTAAAAACAAAAATATTTGGTTTAGATGACAATCCATTACGTAACGCCCCAGAACAATTTTTTGAAGACGTAAAAAAGACCCTTATTGCAAGTTACAATGACCAGAGGGAGACTTTGTACGAAACTTGTTTGCTTGGGTATCTCTGTCCCATTCGTGTTTCAACGGTAAAACAGTTGTGTTTGCAAGGCTGTGTTTCGGTTTTAAGAGTGAGATATGGCGTGAATTTACAGGGTACAGAGGAATAACACCCGAGTCCTCAGAATTGGCAACGCATGGGTGGTATCATGGGCGAAACAGTATACTCTGTTATGTTCATGGTACTGCTAATGTCTATAGGCGACGGTTACCACTTTCCATCAGCTGGGTTGTCAGTTTGTTTGCCATTCTAAGTTGTATAAAAAAATAAAAAATAAACTTACCAAACGAGACTCCGATGCAGAGTGCGCGTCCTGTGGAGATCTTCCGAGCTCCACCTTTTCTTTATCCTTCTTTAAGTTGGCTACTCGCTCCGCCGGTATGTCCGGGGAACTGATGGTCTGGTCCAAGTTCGGTGACTTCTTCGGAAACTGTTCAATCCGGTAGCCTCTTGTTTTAGGTAAAGATTTAGTAGACTGTATAGAGAATATACATTTTACTTAGAAATATTCCTTTTCTTCTTTATCAAATTTTATAATATAGAACATGAGGTAAACTGCCAGCCAAATGGCCAGATGGGGCATTTTAATGGAATGAAAATTTAAAGATAACATTTCCTGTAGCTTTGTCATACACTGGTAGGAAACCATTGAGTGACGATAGGTGAAAACCAGATCAGATTTCTCGCCGTAACATTCACTAGGAATTTTTCGAGATGTCTTAAAGAAAAGAAAGACTGCATGAAGATTGACTTGTTAAGTTATTTTTTTTTTAATGAATGATAATGGAATAGTGACCCCACCCGCGCTATCGGTACACACCGGCGGGGCATCAGTGAAGGATGATAGGTGAGGATGAAGCAGGTCAGTTAGCCCATCGTGACGAATTTAACGAGAATTGTTCACGATGGTTTCCAGGGGGAACCACGTGCAGGTCGACCTAATAAGGTATATTGCTAGCAATGGGGCTGTCAAACTCCATTGCTAACAATCTTTTTCCCCCCTGTTAAGTTATATTACTAGCAATTAGTAGTTCCCATTACTAGAAATACTTATCAGAATCTTCTTTATCGAAAGTGGAATGATATTGTCAAACTGGTCAGCAAGAAACTTCGACACAGACTCGAGACCTTGCATCGTGGCATAGCACAGTTACCAGAATACATACTCAGCAGTCAATAGATGTGTGGGTAGTAATGATGATAATGACTCCTTATCAAATCATTAATAAACATGAGTCTCTCGTGAAAGAAAGCAAATATTAGACTATTGTTATCACACTATTATTATATATATAAGAATACTAAACTAAATACAATGTTGTACAAAGACCAATCATAATAATTTTAATAGAACCAGTAAAGTTATACACGTCAGTAGTAAACATGTTAATTTAGTATTACTATGTACACCATGACTTTGTTTGCAAGGTATATATATATATGGCAAACAAACTGACGGCCCACCTGATGGAAAGTGGTAACCGTCGCCTATGGACATGAGCAGTACCATGGACATAACAGAGTATACTGTTTCGTCCATGATACACCCCATACGTTGCCATTCCTTAGGCCTAAAGTGTTATTCCTCTGTACTCTAAATTCACTGCCATATCCCACCCTTCAAACCGAAAGACAGCTATGCAAACAACTACTTCACGGTAGAAACACGAATGGGACAGAACTACACAAGCAAACGACTTTTGTACAAAGTCTCCCTCCGGAAAACTGGCAACTTTATTTTCAACACTGTCAATAGATATTGTATTAGGTATCTACCTGTCTACTTGTTCTCTGAGTTCTAAATGCTGTTTGTATATTTTTTTATCTATATATTATTAGTTTGGATAAATACATTTTTGACAGATGTGGGCATAGCCCTCGTGGTAAAAAAAAAACATTATAAATCTCTGTTCCTATGTATTCCATTTTTAATAATTTTCTTTCCAATGAAACAAGTTATAATACCTACTCTATGATTACATTACAATTTAAATTAAATCTAGATGAGTCTCAGAAAAACTTTTATTAGGACCTTAAGGCTAGGATCACGTCATGTCCCCCCCTGTTTCCCCAAATGGCTAGGAATAGGCGTAGTCAAAAAATGACGATTTAGAAAATTATTTTCGTATATTTTTTGGTAATTTTAATAGGGTAAATATTGAAAAAAATTAACTTTTTTCTTTCTTTCTTTCTAAGAATAAATTTGTGTAATAAACGTTAAATTTACACAAATCAATTTACAGACTGTCAATTTTTTTTTTGTGACGTGATCAATAAAGATGAAATAAATAAAATTTAGTATTAAGTTATTATGGTGTTTTCCACTGGGGGTTTTTTCCAAAAGTTGCCACGCTTGGCAGGCGGGTTGGCAACAACAGTTGAATTAACAAAAGTAAAGGTTACTATGTTCCCTTATTTGCCTGTTACGACACCAAAAGGAAAAGAAGGGGTGGCCTATTCTATGCCGGGACACACATGATCTGTTGTAAATAAGATTCTTGAGTGGCGACCCCGTATGTGTAAACGCAGTGTAGGACGATCCCATTCACTAGATGGAGTGATGACCTCAAATGCATAGCAGGGAGACAGAACCGTTCTTTATAACAGTCTATGGAGGAAGCCTCATCTTCAGAAATGGACAGATAGTTGCTGAGACGATGATTTAGTCATTTAAAGTTAGAAGTACAGTTCTTGATTGACGACTCCGTACGGGCAAATACAATGTAATTCGACCCCTACTAAATGGAGTCATGACCTCAAATGCATTGCAGAGATTCAATAGAGACAGGTGGCTCCGAACCATTCCTTATAGCAATCTATGGGGAAAACCTATGTTCAACTGTGACGCATAGGGGGGAAAGGGATTGTTAGTAATAGAGACTGAGAATCCCATTGCTAGCAATATACCCAACCAGGTCGATCTCCTCACGGTTCTCCCTGGAAACTATCATGGTTAATTCCTGATGAATTCATAATGATGGGCTAACTGGCCTGTTTTCATTCTCATCTATCACCCTACACTAATGCTCCGCCAGCGTATCCCATTAGCGCAGACGGGGTTACCATACCATTTTCACTCATTGACAAAAAAAAACTGTGACGCATAATGTCTGAGATGCTGATGAAGTTATTTAATTGTTTCTCGTAATCGGTATATCAGAAGGGAATGTTAATAAGACAGATGGCCTCTTGCTAACAATGTAGGGTATATTATTCTTTCAGGTCGACCTCCACGCAGACCCCTAGACACAATCGTGGTTATGCGATGGATTCATTACTAATTAAATAAATAAATATACTGACCTCATTCTTACCTATCATCATTCCATGGCACCCTGCCAGCATGTACTGTAACCTTGACACAGTTTCTGTACCATTTTTAACCCATAATAAATGTAAATAACTGATACATGACTATTAATAATTAAAGATTGTTTATCACAAAAAAAGAAAACAATTTTGACTTCAAAACTCAACTATCGAAATGCTTTTGAAAAAAATTCTATGGGATCGATCTATAAATATATCCTTTCAATTAAAATAATTTTACAAATCGGTTTACAACTATTGGAGTCATGAGGTAACAGATATAAAGAAAATACCAGAGGAAGACTTTGTACACAAGTCGTTTGCTTGTATACCTCTGTCCCATTCGTGTTTCAACCGTAAAGCAGTTGTGTTTGCATGGCTGTGTTTCGGTTTAAAGGGTGGGATATGGCGTGAATTTACAGGGTACAGATGAATAACAACTGAGTCCTCAGGAATGACAACGCATGGGGGGTATCAAGGGCGAAACAGTATACTCTGTTATGTCCATGGTACTGCTCGTGTCTATAGGCGACGGTAACCACTTTCCATCAGGTGGACCGTCAGCTTGTTTGCCATTTTAAGTTGTGTAAAAAAAATACAGTCGAATTGAGAGTCTCCTTGTTTTTGAAGTCGATTGAAAAATAATTAAAAATTATTATTTCTAAATGAGCTACAATATAGTTGTGGTCGCCTAAAAATATCTACTGCATAACGTCCACATAATGCAATTAGAGAATACGAGACGCCACTTATTCGAATTTCACATACCATGCACTTTTCACGGGAAATAGGCCAACGGACCACACGTATATGATCCAATAAATGATGTAATCAATTGCCAACCTCTTCCCGCCCCCCCTGGATATCTTGTCACGGCATCCTCCGCACGTTGCCGATCCTGGATCTTGCAGGAAAAGAGTCCTAAACAGTGTGTCGTTTAGGACGATTTTCCTGCACGAGCCATTAGAGTAATTATTACCTATTGAAATTTTAGTAAACTCACCTTCATTGTGAAACGCTCAATAAATAAACATTGTTAATTATTAAATTAAATAGTCCGAGTAAAATGTTACTTATATGGGAAAATATTTAAAACAATTATGTCAAATAAGACATTAAAATATGGATATGTCAAAAAATCTTACATAACCGAACGTTTTCGTTGTTTGACGTAAATTTAAATAATATATATTGATAAATGTCCTTAATCTTACTTGTATATTCTGGAATGTAGTTATTAGTATGTTCTGTATAAATGAAACTTTTTAACCACCTTTAAAAAAGAAGTGTTACTTAACTAGATTATAATTCATTGAGATAAATACTGATATTTAAAACTAGCATTTAACTGCGACTTTGTTCGCGTTTTTTTTTTACAACACAGTGGGCAAACGAGTATGCGGCTCACCTGATGGTAAGTGACTACCGCCTCCCATGGTCACCCACAACACCAACGACATTGCAGGTGTGCTGCCGGCTATTTAAAAAGGAATATGCTCTTTTCTTGAAGGTTATGTTGTCGTATCGGTTCGCGTAACTGGAATATCTTCACTGCACTGGATAAGAAGTGGTAGTGTTTCTCCATCCTATACCTATGGGATCCCATACTAAACCTATAGTATGTGTAAAGCAGATTTCATAGTGAAATTAAGAGATACCAAAAAAAAAAATCAAAGTAATAAACGTACAAATTTACTTTCACATTTATAATATCTGTACAGATCTGAAAGTGAGTTTGTTTATTTGTTGCCTCTTCATGCCTTAACGGCTTAACTATTTCTTATGAAATTTAGTACGCAGGTAACATTTAAAATGTATATTAGAACCGCAGTTACTAAATTACTATCCTTAACCCCTCATTGCATGTTTTTTTTTTATTGGGGAAATAATTCAACGTGATATAATTCATATTTCAAAATTAAAGGAAAAATGTTTAATAAATAAATTTGACAGCTATGTTTTTTTCTCTGCAATGGACATTAAAAAGGTGTCCAGACACGATCAATTTAAAGTGTACTTGTTCTTTTATATAATTTTTGGACATTCAATGTTATGATGGAAATTTCTACCATTATACAAAGAAGGGTTAATCTATGTAGTATTTGGTTTAATAATAGTAAGACAATTCTATTTCTTATGCTAATGCCCAACAGTGCGACTCATGGATAACCGTCGAGAAAATTATATATTTCATAAAACTCGTTACATTTCACGAAAGTGTATAAACAATCTCTTGACAGACGTTGCAAATTCACTAATATTTGTTCGGTATATCAGAAGTTATTATCTCAGTGTAATACTACGTTTGTTACATTTATACACACCAAGTCTTTATCATTCATATTTAACACCAATTCTTATCTTTAATAGGTGTTTGCCTTGATAGAGGCAGTTTTCACAAAATATATAAATGAAAAAGCTAAAATTATTCGCGAATTTAACAATAATAGAATTTAATATGTCTGTCTGTATATTTAAATTGTTATTATGTACTAATTACTATTACATATGACTAGTACAAGAGTCCCAATTATGTCTAATGTTCGTAGATCTGTCAAATTGTAAGAAAATACCTCTGACAAGGCTTTCCCACTGACGTTGAAACAATCATTTTTAAAGACTTTCTCTGTCTATCTATCTATATATCTATATATGTTTTTTTTTTTTTATACAACTTAGAATGGCAAACAAGCTGACGGCCCACCTGATGGAAAGTGGTAACCGTCGCCTATAGACATGAGCAGTACCATGGACATAACAGAGTATACTGTTTCGCCCATGATACTCCCCATGCGTTGCCATTCCTGAGGACTCAGGTGTTATTCCTCTGTACCCAGTAAATTCAATGTTTCAGAATCACGTAAATTCCGCATTCAATTTAGTACAGTAACGTACTAAATTGAATCCGGTTTTGGCCATTTTTTACCGTAAAACACTACCCAGAAATGATCTATTCCATTGTTCTTCCCACTTGAGAAATCCACGTTTTGTATGTAAAAATATCTAGACATACAAACAGGGATACTCATACATACAAATTTCGAAATTCTTACGGATTAACTTCACGATCATAGCTAGATTAGAGTTAATAAGAGATTAGAGTTAATGCTCTATTAATTAGAGATTATTATTTAGGGGATTAGAGAGACAAAAAGAGAGAGAGAGTACAACTGCATCACTGAGGTCATCGAAAAAGATTCTACTGTTTCGTGTACGAGTATATATTGTAATTTGACAGTTCATCATCAATACTGACAATTGTAAACATTGACAATTGTAAACATTGACAATTGTAAACATTCATTTTATTACCTATCTCGTTTTGTTTGTTACATAGACAAATGATTTATACAATCGATATATTAAGAATAAATACTGATACAAATTAATTTACTTTTAAATTCCACTGCATAAGGAATAAATTAAAAAATGGAACATTTAATGTGACTTTTATAAAACATTGTCTATGGTAGTTAGCAAATGAGATAGATGCATGGAATATTTCAGGAAATGCCCATAAGGATCAAGAAGACATTTAGAACATTCAGTACTGTACTGACTAAATAAAGTTATCTCACAACGTTACTAGGTACAGGAGTATTTTAACAGCGACCCTATTGCACACTGTATAAAGTTTAAAATTAAAATCGCTGCATGCAATTGTGAAATGAGTGTAGTAAAGATAATAGGTTAATACAATTATAACGCTTACAGGGTTTCAATAGAGTGGATGACACTCTCGCGCTGTCGAAGTTCGTTTAGTGATTTAGTGACCGTGTTTGTTGGTGATGGCTGAAGGTGAGTGATTAGTTCATGTTTACATATTGATACGTAATATTTAAACATATATGTGTGTGTGTGTAAAATTAAAAATAAATTATGTTATTTGTCAATAAAATTTAATTATTATATGTAAATTGGAAATTAAAGAAAAACGTTAACAATATGCTATTTGTTGTTTTAAAATCTGTTCAATTAATGTTATTTTTTTTTTATATTTTTGTGTAATAAACATATCAGATTAGTCTTATCTTAAACTTCATAAATTAGATGAAGTTATGTTTTATTAAGTAAATTATAATAGAAACATTGTGAAATATTTATAAATAACAATAATTATGTAAATAATATGTACCTTTAAATATAAATTTAGATTTGTTTTCTATTTTCAATTACTTTTATGATATCAAATTAGACTTTAAATGACATTAATGACAATGGCAACGCATGGGGGGTATCATGGGCGAAACAGTATACTCTGTTATGTCCATGGTACTGCTCATGTCTATAGGCGACGGTTACCACTTTCCATCAAGTGGGTCGTTAGCTTGTTTGCCATTCTAAGTTGTATAAAAAAAAAATTATTGTCATATTTGCTTTACATATTTTGATTGCATTAATGAAAAAAAAAACATGGTGCATATTATTTCTGAAATTCGAAAAATTTTATAAAAAAAAAAGCAACCGAATGCAAATTTATCATACATGTACTCGTATTGGTATATTGTTGCTGTGTTGTTTTTTTTTTTTTGTTTATATATGTAACTTAAATACATGTGTTTTATGGCATCAAATACAAAGTTTGCGGTTATTATTCATTTACATAGCCCCTAGCTTTGTATTGTTTGCTATTTTACACATTCAGTGCTTTCGGTGTTTTACATTTTGCTTTTAAATGTTTTTTTTTTTTTTCATTTTCTACCAAGCATTGTTATTATGTATTGTGCATTGTGCTAAGCGAGTATGTTTCTTTTATTATGCCTGAATATAATTAGAATAACGATATAATATATCTCGTACTAGCGTATTGTTTATATTTTAATTTGGCAATTTAACTTAAACTTACAGGACAACATTTTGTTTATATTAGGTCGTAATTTTCTTGATAAATATGGTACATTAGATTTTTTTAATACCAATTCAGACAAGCAATACAGTGGATTAAAACTAGTATATACTAATTGTTATATACTGGCCACCAGTCGCTAGTTCGAATTTTTATATATGTGAAATATCTATTGACATGTGTCACAATTATTCTATTCTAATAAAATAACTTATGTAGATATACGTATTTTATACTAATGTAATGTCACTGTAAACGCATTTAATTCTAACGTGAAGTAGAACAAGGTTAACCTCGTCGTCCACTGAAACCTGTAAAAAAAATACAAATTGTTTGTGAAACAGTTTCTCTGCTTAATTTGTTTAACTTATTAATTCAATAAACTTAATTTAAAACTTAATTTATTCAACTTATGACTGTTTGTTACTTTTTTAAACTTTCTCGTTTCCTTTACTTTTGTTTTTACAACATAAATATCAAGTTTTACCTGGAGGAAATTTTTTTAACGGATCTTGTACAGAACATGTGTACTTGTGTTCCATTCGTGTTTCTGCCATTAAGCCGCGATGTTTGCATAAATGTTCCGATTTTAATGCTGACAGTAAAATTCCCTGTGATTCTTGTATGCAAGCGTAACATTTTAGTTCTCAGGAACGACAATATGTGACGCAGCGTGAGCGTTAGTGTCCTCCATGTTTTTTTTTTAATATCTATAATCAATTATTACTACTTTCCATCGGACGCACGGTTAACTTGTTTTCCGTCCATTAGTTGTAAAAAAACCAACTAATACAGCTACACTACGCCAAATCTCCTGTCATAACTTATAATCGCAGTACAGAAACCTGTTCAAACGTCGGCAAAACCCAAGCAATAATCAGATGCATATAAAGTAAAATAATGAATTGTATTATACCATATGTAAAGGGCAATGATACGGATCTTCCATTGAAATGTATCCCGCGGGAAATCCCCGCACATATTTGTCTATTTCACTTTAATTATTTCCGCTTGAGTGAAAAACCATTGCAATGTGTTTTCTAAGTAGAAATAGATTTAGAATGACGATTCTCAGATATTGATACTGAGAAATCGTCAAGCGAGCTTTGTGCGTGTGTATTTTATAATTTTGTTGGAAGCTTTATATTTAATTCTTAGTGTTCCGTACGAAAACCGTACAAAGTATACCTAATTACAATAACAGTAATAAAGTTATAATAATATGTTATACGTATAGGAAATATATAATACTAATAAAACTAATTTGAACTAAT